TGTAAAAAGAAAGCATTGTCTCAATGGGTGTGTTAGGGTTCAACCGCAAGGCCAGAGGGCTCCTTGAGGGTCACATATCCCTGTGGCGTGCAAGGGATATTGCAAAGTTCTTCTCTCTGAGATTCCAAGCATGAAAGGACAGTCCCTAGAAAAAAAGGTTTAAAAGGAGATAGCAATTTAGGATTAAGACAGAGAAATATTGAGTCTTAAAGGAAACATCCAGGAGCCATTGAAATGCAGAAAGAAACCCAGTTGTAAATCTTGAGGAACTGGCAATATGCCCTTGTAAAATGAGGAAAATACACAAGTGCAGGGAAACTGGCATGAAATTGTGCAGCTCTCACCCTGGTTCCACCTCCAGTCTGGCCCCTAACTATAGCCCTTCTATAAATTTAAGACCCCCAACCCAAGGAGGGGTCTCACTCTCAACATATCCCCCATTCTCCCTTGAATATGTATCTACTTCCTAAAAAATACTCTGTCTATGCCTTTGTCTGGCTTATGCTGAAATTCTCTTCTGTCATATATGCCAAGCACCCCTCTGGTCCTGGGTTGAATACTCCTTCCCCTCTGGGAACTCCTTGGACCCTTCTCCAGAGGCATCTCTTCTCTTGTGACAACACCACCCTGCCCCTCCATGCCTACCCACTGCTTGCCACCACAGTCAGCTGAGAATGCTGATTCCACGGAGAACCTGATGCTGACTGAGAGAACAAAGCAGGGAGACAGCAGAGTTGGCACCCAGTCTTCCAGAGCAAGACACTAAGTTCCATGGAGCTGTATGGAGCAAAACTTTGATCTTGAAATTATACTTTTTGAGAAAGTGCCAAAGCAATTATATCCATAATTATAACTCCCAAATAAGATGCAGACCATTGTTTTCACTGTAAACAGTCTGGATCCTACAGAAGTGAGTCCCCGATGGCTGGATTATCATTATCATTTTAATTACACAAATGACGCTACACAGTGTTCCTGATTGTGTGGATGTCAACTCTCTTCAAACTAATGTAGTTCTGACCAAAATCTAAAGCAGTGTGCTTGTGGGGGAAAGAGAAAATAATTTCAAAAAGTATAATAATTATTATAGGAAGAGAAAGGCATATGAATAGAAAAAATGTTTGCACAAAAAAAGTGATGAATTTGAACTGATAATCCAGATATTTTGAAATGTAGTTTAAAAAAAACAAAACAAAATAGTGCAGTATTGGCATTAAATAGACAAGTTAATGGAACAGAATAGAAGGTAGAAAAAAAAAGACCTAACCATGCAATAATTTAATGTATTATAAATGTAGGTATCTCAAGTTGATGGTGTAAAAATTGAGTAGATAATGACTGAGGGCACAACTTCCCAAAATGCTAGAAAGACCAGAATGCATCACTATACTAAAAAATTCTGAGTGATTCAATGTTTAAAATGCAAAGTAAGTGAAATCCAGGTAAATATTTATGTAATCTAGGGAGTGAAGATGGAATTACTAAGTTTAGTAATAAAAACAAAAAACATAAAAAAAACAATACATTTTATAGTTTAAAGTTTAAAATCTTCACATAAAAAAAAATTCCACATCAAGCTGGGTATGGTGGCACATGCCTCTGATCCCAGCAACTCAGGAAGCTGAGATGAGAGGATTGCAAGTTCAAGACCAGACTCAGCACTAAGAAATAAAAAGTTAAAAGGACTGGGGATGTAACTCAGTGGTAAAGTGCCACTGGATTCAATCCCCAGAATCAAAAAAGGAAAGTTAATATTCCATTAGTTGTAAGCTGTAGAAATAAATTGCATATGTTGCTTAATGGGATAATATGTAACTATAAAAATATAAGTAAAACTGGGTGTAGTGGTACACGCCTGTAATCCCAGAAGCTTGGGAGCCTGAGACAGGAGGGTCTTGCGTTCAAAGCCAGCCACAACAATGAGGAGGCACTGGACAACTCAGTAAGACCCTGTCTCTAAATAAAAATACAATATAGGGCTGGGGTTGTGGCTCAGTGGATGAGTGCCCCTGAGTTCAATCCTCAGTACCCATCTCCCACAAAATATAAGCTAATAAGGTACTGATAAGGAACTACCTCAATGACATAATGTTGAATGGAAAGGTGCAGAGAGGAATATATGTTAGGATAACATTATATAAAGAGTAAATAAATACATTTATATATTAGCTTATATGTGCATAAGCTATCCTGAAAGAATACAAAAGAATTGATCTCAGTGGTTACCTCTGAGAGGGAAATAAAGGAAGAATTTGGGTTAAAGAAAGAATTTTTATGTTATACTCTTTGACACATTTTGAATTATGTGATTATATTACCTAGTACATAATTTTCAAAACAGATATATTTGATAGACATCTTTTCATGTCAGGAGAAGCAGCTATTTCTTTAGATGACTGAAAGATATTGCTGTATGTGGATTTATCATATTTAACCAATTTTCTATTGATGAAAACTTAGATTGTTTTCAATTTTTCACCACATAAATAATCTTATTGTGAATATCCTTGCCTATAATGTTCAAGTATTTTTGAGAAGAAAATTCTTAGAATTGTTGTGATAAAAATACATTTAATTTTAGTTCCTAAAGCTATTCAAGTATCTAATCTTTAAAGAGATCCTTTTCATTATTTGTTACAGCTTAGTCCATATTAAGGTTAGAAGTTTCTGGCAGTTCTGGATTTTAGGAGCCCCAAACACTTTTCCTTTCCCCAATTTTCAGTTCCAGGACTCTTCTATCTAATGAAGAATCTATTTCTTTTGTTTTGGGAGGGGCTAATTATGCCTTTCCCTGTTCCTGAGATGTGCTTGTGACTCATGCCCAGCCAATCAGAGGGCTCTGTCTATGAAGCTATAAGGATTTGTTTATATGTGGTTATGTGTCCCACACTGAACCAATAAAAATTATCCCTAATATATTTTATGGTGACAGGTGGAATCAATAATGTGCTTTTCTCTGAGGTTCCTGAGATGCTAAGTACATGAACCTGGGATTATCAGCAGCAATCCTTTTTACCTGGTTATGAGGCAAACTTGGAAATGTTACAGGCTGATAGATGGATGAATGGAGCTAGATGATAGAAAAATAGATCATGCCTTGATTACACAGTTTGAGCTCCTGAATCAGCTGTACCTGCAGACACATGCACAAATGAATATATATATATATATATATATATATATATATATATATATATATATATATATATATATTTCAACTGGTTCAAGTGGGTTTCAGTAATTTATAACCGAGATTCCTTGGTTAATAGCCTACCTCTTTTTGGTCATATACATTATAGTTATATTCCCCAGTGTGTGGCTTGTAATTTTATTTATGGTGGTCTTGGCCATATACTTAATTTTATTTTTTATTTTTATTTTTTAGATAGTAAATCTTATCATTGCAGTTTCAATTCCTGGTTAGAAAGATGCTTTTTATTCTGATTTTTTGAAGTCCCTATTTATTTCCTTATATTTTCAATATGGATCTTTAGGTCTAAAATTGGAAATTAATTTTTGATGTGGTATAAGGCAAGGCAATGTTTCTCTCACTCTGTCCCTCCTCCTCTCCCCCTGCCTCCCTCTCCTCCCCTCTTCCCACCTTCCCTTTCTCTCTCTGGTACTGGGAATTGAACCCAGGGGAACTCTATCACTGAGCCACATTCCCAGCTCTTTCTATTTTTAATTCTGAGACAGGATCTTGCTAAGATGCCAAAGCTAACCTCAAACCTGTGATCTCCTGCTCGGCCTTCTGATTTGCTGGGATTACAGGTTTAGGCTACCAGGTCTGGCTATGCAATCTCATTTTAAAAGCAGTAATGCATGATATAAATTTGAGAACACACACCAACACATGTCAAAATTACTATCTCTAACTTTCACTTGGTGGTGGCATTACAAGGGGGACTCTATATTGAAATACACACTAGAAGTACTTCTGCAGAGGACACTGAGGATTGAACCCAGTGGCACTTTACCACTTAGCTACATCCTCAGCCTTCTTTATTTTCAATCTTGAGACAAGGTCTTGGTAAGTTTCTTAGGCTGTTTTTTAAGACAGGGCCTCACTAAGCTGATGAGGCTGGCCTGGAAATTGTAATCCTCCTGCCTCAGCCTCCTGAGTATCTAAGAATACAGGCATACACTAACACGCCTGGTTGTATATTATGATTTAATGAATTAATTTGTTATCATGCTAATATTTCCTTCTGGATTACATATGTGATATGGTATATATTTCTATTATAAGTAATATATATTGCTGGAGAATGCAGTTTGTACTTCTCAGGCAAAGTTTGCCTATTTCTACTTAAAATCAACTGAATTTCAAGGAATAGTGTATAGGTATTTTGATTTATTTAGTTCAATTGTCAAAAAAATATTTTGCCTCATTATATTGCCTTTAATTTAAATATTATTCAATGATACACATAAACCTAACGTACTGTGGATTTTCTGACATTCTCTAATGGTAAGATAGCTGTATAAATTTAGATCATAAATTTATGTCATAAAATTCAATGAACCATATTTTGTATTTAAGTTAACTGCACATAAAACACACATCATACATGAAACAATTCAATGCCATATAAAATTATTATATCAAAACACTTTCTAAACTTCCTCTTACCAAAAATTAATTCTTAAATCTTCAAGCTCTACCCTAGGTGTATGTTGCTTCGCAATGCAATTTGTGAGTTCTATTCTTTTTTTCTTGTCAGATTATCACTTAAGACCTTGGTAAATGTAGTGCTGACCTAGGGAATCGGGCTAATGGTCAGTATCTCAGCTTTCTGCAATGAAGTTCAAGGTAACCACTGGAAATTGTACCCGTTTTCTAAGAGCTTGGGAAATGAATTCAAACAACTAAAAACCAGTCTAGAATTCATCTTTTATTCCAAAAAGCAAACCACAATTGAGATGATCAGCACTGGACAGATTTCCAAAGAAATGCACACAAACATTGAGAATTTGGGTTGCATAACATTGAAGCCATCTGTAGCACAAACTTCAGTGATGCCTTCAAAATGCTACCTTTTCATTTACTGAGGATGCATTGAAAGATCAAATGCACCAAATCTTTTTGCAAAGCACAGGAGCATTTTTCTTTTTATGGTAAACAGGCTATGGAAAGAAATTTTCTAAATCTTTATTGAAATTCAGAGGCCTTTACTAATCTTTTTTGAGTAAGATTATTCTGCAATGAGTTCCTACCAATCACAAACTTTCACAAGAAGTTAGATTACACAGAGAATTCATCTGAGAAGACACTTCTGTCAGAACCTGTACGCAAAGAGAGGAATGACTAAACATAAACTTTACCCTCCTTTACAGAGGGAATGATAAACCACTGTATTATCTTTCTTGTTCAATTTTAATATGTATTGTCATAAAGATCACCTTCACAAGCAAAACCGCTCTCCTTTATTTTCCTATAGCAGGAAAGAGAACACACATGAAACATGACAGGAAGCTCTGTTGCTCCAAAGATATTGTAGGATTGGATGATACGAAAACCTTCACCAAACTTGGGACCAAGGCACCATTCACACCTGGATGTGCTGAAATGGAGAAATATCAAGTGAACATGTAATAAATTTCTACCAAAGTAAAAACACTTGTTGCTTGGCAAGATCCAAAGTACTATAACATACAACCTTTCGCTTCATTGAGCTTATCCTCTAGAAGTGGCACTTACAATCAAGTGAAAAATTATATGCTGCAGGGTGCTATGGCCCATGCCTGTAGTCCCAGTGGCTTTGGAAGCTGAGACAGGAGGATCACAAATTTGAAGCCAGCCTCAGCAACTTAGTGGGACCTTAGGGAATTTAGCAAAACCCTGTCTCAAAATTAAATAAATAGGAGTGGGGATGTGGCTCAGTGGTTAAGCACCCCTGGTAAGGACAAAAAACTTAAATGTTAAAAGTGCCAAATAATGAAGTATACAATGTGTAACACAATATTACTTTTCTTAAACAAAAATATTATGTATAGTTTCTTAGACAACTCTCCATATTGATATATTTTGTTTTACTTCATTCTTACTAATAGCACATTTGATAGTTTGGGTAGACCACAATTTATTTTACCACTCTCTTTCTGATGCACATTTAAGCTGCAGTTACCATCCCTGTAACAGACTTGTGTTCACAGGTAACTACTTCCATAAGGCCGAATCCTTAAGATTTTTAAACTGTTGTTTTAAGGGATAAGTAACAAACTGTCAAATTGCTGTCCATGAAGCTTCCAGCGGTTTACAGTTACCACCAACAGTAGCCAATAGTTCTGTCTTCAGGCATGGAAAGTCAACACAATATCAATCTTTTAAAAGTTGATAAGACAGGTAAGTAAAAAAAAAAAAAATCTATTGTTGCTATTTCACATTTTGGTTCCTTGATTACCATGAGGTTAACATTCCTCTTAGTTATCTGCTATCTGTATCATTCATGAATTAACTGCATATTCCTATTACTCACTTTTTTCTGGGTTATATCTTTACTAATTGATATGTGGAAGATATACATGTTTCAACTTTTTATAAGCATTGACATATCTTATTTCAGTCGATGTCTTGTTTTTTTTTAATTTCATTGATGGTATTTTGTATTTGTGAAAATCTCTCTCTTGGATCCAATTCATATACTTTGCTTTACTGTTTGCATTTCTGTGGTTTATTCAAGGTGTCTTTTCCTGTATGCCATGAAGATAAGTCTCCTGTACTTGCTTCCAAAAGCTTCAAGGTTTTGGTTTTCATACTTCAATTTTTAACACTATTGGAAATGATCTTCATAAATGATCTTTGTGAATGGTGGTGACATATGCCTAGCAGAAATCTAATTTTAAATATTTTTTTCTCTGAAAATGAGCAAATGTCTCAGCAACATTTATTGAAAAGACTCTCCCTCTGGATCCACGGTGCCATTTTGTCAAATATTGAGTTTTCACATATGCATGAAAAAAAAAATGACTGGGCTATGTTTTATTCTTCCACTACTAACTGTGTCCTTCCCTTTACCTAATACCAACCTGTTTTACTTTCTTTAACTTTTAATATAAAGTCTTGCAAGCCCCGTATGTTAGACTTCTTTTCCAGGTTTTCTCTGGCTACTTTGGAGCCTTTGCTTTTCCATGTACATTTTAGAATCAGATCGTCAAGTTCCTGAAAAAATTCTATTAGGATTTTGACCAAAAATGCATTGGATTTATAGCTGTATTTGGGAATATCTGCTATATTTTTTTGTATTGAATATATATCCCTCCCCTTACATTCAGACTTCTTTACTTTTTCATTGTTTAAATTGTTTTTCATAAATATCTTGCGCATATTTCACTTGATATATTCCCAGATACATTGTTTTTGCTATCATAAAAATATCTTTTAAAGATTTTCTTTCTATTTAATGTCTGCTTTTAGCTATATCTCCTTTTAAGCCCATTACTATTATTATCATTTCATAGATATTATGTTTGCTTACTTGTTTTTAAATTTCTGTTTTCACTATTCCTTCTTACATTTTGGACTTTGTTTTTGTAGTTGTTTTCCTTCTTTCTGATGCATATCCTTAAGGAAAATCTGTTGAGAGTAAATTCTCTGTTTTGTTTTCCTCCCAAAACACCATTCTTTGTCTTTCTTTTTTGAAAGGTAGTTTTGCCAGGCAGAATATAATATTTTTTCAGACACTGTTGTGCTGTTGCTGACAGTTCCTCAGCCATTACTTGTGGTTTTCTTCCAGCTGATTTTGGTTTCTTGTCTTTGTCTTTGGTGTTCTTTATTTTCACTATGAGGTACCTTTCTGAGCCAGTGCAGAGCTGTCTGTGAATTCACACCTTTCATTACTTCTGAGACTTTGCAGCCATCATCTCATCCAGTGAGGACTCTGCTATTCTGTTCTCACTTTCTGGCTCTCAAAGTATATGTTAACTCTTTTCCTTTTTTACTTCCTGTCTCTGTCTTAACGTGATTTTTCTGCCTCTTTTTTCATGTATGCATAACCTATTGTTTAACTCATGCACCAAGTTGATTTGAAGTATTACATTTTTAGTTTCTAGAATTTAGTTTCATTTAAAGTTTCTTTTCTATATTTTCCTGGCCATATTTGATAATCTCTTACTTATTAACTATGTTTAAAATTATATTTTATTTCTTGAAACATTTACATATTCTGTAAATAATACTAATATCTTAGATTCTTGAAGATTAGTACATGTTAGTTGTTTCTTCTGGTTTTTATTTTTGATGGTTTGTAAATTTCTTTAAATTATGAGATAATATTCATTGAACTTAAATTCCTGGAATCTTTGCTGTATAAATCGAGAATGTCCAATACATTGGTGGTTCATTGCTCTGGAACCATGTAGACCTTCTTTGGGTCTAGCTTTAATTCAGGAATCTCAGGTTCATGTTCACAACCTTGTTGTGAATCTAAATTTTTACAAGTTGGGTTTTACTTCTTTAAAACATTTTTCCCTTGGAGAATTTAAAAAAAATTTTCTCATTTGCAATAAAATTTCATGTGCTTTGAAATTTCAATATATTAAAATTGAAAACTTCTTGGCTCTGTCCTTTTTTTATAGATAGATCTTTAACTATTTTTTTTTAAATTTCTTTAATGGTTGCTGTGTTAGCTTTGTATCACTCTAACAAAATGCCTGAGATATTCAACTTGTAAAAAGAGAAAAAGTTTGTTTTGGCTCACAGTTTTGGAGGTGCCTATTCATAATCAATTGGCCCCATTGCTTTGAATCTGTGGTGAGGCAACACATCGTGATGGGAACAAGTGGTGGAGTAAAATCACTCTCCTCCTGGCCAGGAAGCAAAGAGAAAGAAGATGGAACTGGACTCCAGAATCCCATCCAAAGGCATGTCTCCAATTACCTAGTCATTTCTTGGTGGGCCCTACCCTTTTAAGGTTCCACTACCTCTCAATGGAGGTACTATCTTCAGGACCACACCATTAACACATGGTCCTCTAGAACATTCAGGATCCAAACTATAGCATCTGCCTTTTGTTGAGTCAATACTGGTAATTTAGACATTCCAGGGAAACTTAGGCATACAATAGTATTTATTAAATCAATAGTGCTGATGATTAATACTTAAGTAAAAATGGTTTCATGCTATCTGAAGGAAATAAGAAACAAGCTTAAGTGAGCTATAAGTATGTAGGGGTTTAAGAATTCTAGTCCTGAGATCAGGTAATGACTCTACAATTGGTCATTGATGCTGGAGGAGAGCAGTTGCTCTGTCCAGGTCTCTACCACAGTAAAGCAAACATTTTCCCTGGGTGGAGAATTTTTTTTTTTTTAAAGAAACCACTTCTATGTACTTAGTAACTCATAGAAAGGATTTATGTAACAGCTGTGTACATACTGTCAATATACTTCAGCAATCCATTCTTTATATAACAACTTGAGAAAAATGGCACTAAATTCAGACTGTATTATTATCCCTGAAAAGCTGAAAGGGGCAATTTGAAGAATTGTGTGTATGCTTTTGTAGGTGATGTGCTGGTGTGTGTGTGTGTGTGTGTGTGTGTGTGTGTGTGTGATTTAGTAAAACTGTTATTTGGCCCCTAATGAAGAAATTAAAATTTTTTTGTATTTGTAGATGGACAGAATGCCTTTATTTTATTTGTTTATTTTTATGTAGTGCTAAGGATCAAACCCAGTGCCTCACACATTAGACTCTGCCACTGAGCTATAGCCCCAGCCCTTAATGAAGACATTTCAGATACTAAAAGGTGTACTTTGGTCTGAAGTACTTCAGAATTTACTCACCATATCAGTAACTTTTGAACTTTTAGTGGGATCTTATCATAAGAACCAAGTAGATCATTTTTGATAATGAACAAAGCACACATGTGAGTAAGTTGTTGGGGACTATTGAAACAATTCTCGACCCATAAACTACGATGAGTGAAAGTATTCTCAAGCTGGATTTTTGTCAGGTTAAGCTTCAAAATTCCAGGTGGAAGAAAAAACAAGTAATTCCCATCAATAATCAGTTTGTCAAGTGATCTGTAAATAAAGATAATCTCATTTTAAAGATATTTATGCAATATTTATGCAATTTTGTCCCAGCGTTCTTAAAAACTGGCAACAAATTTAGTGGCAAGGAAAAAACACATGTGTATTTAAGTATTAAAATCAAGAGAATTTACATATGAAACAACTGAACTAATATATTTTTACACAAATAAGTACACTTTGTGTGCTCAGTTGGTGCCTGTATTTGGAAGGTCTTTGAATGGGGTCATCAGTGTGGAAAAAGAAATAATGTCCACAATCACAGGAAGACTAACAAACATTATATAATACAATATAAAAAGAACATACAGAAAAAAATGCTTTTATAGAAAATTGAACGTCAACATGTATTTTGTCATTCAATGGTAATAAAACCAGTGAAATTTATGCCATCAAAATGTACCACGTGCTATGTTATGCTTTGACTTTTTCAACACCCAAGTCCCCTTAAGTCTTCACTGTGTCAGTTGCTTTCAATAATCCTTGGTCCTTTATTCAGAAAACCAGCATGACTGATTTTCTTATTTTCACTTGTCTCAGTAGTGTTTTCCACAGTCACTTATCTCCCTTCTAATTAGTGCTGGAAGCAGACAGAAAAGTATCTGTTCATGAGGGACACATAAAAATCGAAGTCAAAGGCCAACAAAATTTCATATGCATTAAAGGTGAACCGGCTGGAAAATGGAATTTAGGCAGTGAGTAAGGGGCTTCTAGGTTCTTACTGACAGTCTAGTCTCATATTGTGACCCTTACTAACAGTATTAAAATGTGTTTGAAGGTGGTATGTATTTAAAACAGAAAGAGGCTAAGAAGATAACAGAATTCTTTCAGTTTGACCTTGTGCCTCCCATGGTCTGGTACAGGTGAGCAAGACTCCAGGCTGTTTTGGTCCTGAAGGAGAGAACTAGCATGCTCACTTTTTCCTCTGCATCAAACGCAAGCCAACATGCCAGAAGCAGAGAGTCTGGCTATGGGCTGAATATTTATATCCCTCTTAATTCCTATGTTGAAATCTTTGTCCCCAAGGTGATGACATTTAGAGGTAGAATTTTTAGGAGGTGATTAGGTTGGGGTGGACAGCTCTCATAAGCAGGATAAAACAGGCTTCAGATGGCTCCTTCTATAATGGGAGGCAAGAGGAAGAAGGTGGCTGTGTACGTGACAGCACACCCTAGCCAGACACCAAATTTACTTGCATATTCATATTGGGTTTCTGGGCTTCCAGAACATGAGAAATGAGTTTCTGTTATATACAAGGTACCAAGCCTACAGGACATTGCTGTAGCAGCCCCTGCTGACAAGGACAAGTCCTGTGTGGACAACCAGAATGAGTATGGCACATGCAAGGGAAAGGCCAGCAAATGTTCCCAGGACATCCATGGTGAGAACCCAGAAGTTTGGGTGCCCTCTTCCTATTTATGGGTTTTGGGGAGCTAAGCTGGCCAAACAATAATTGAAGCTGGAAGACCCCCACATCCAGTTTCGAAGCTGAGCACTCTGGGGGCAGAGGAGTCTCCTTGAGGCATGACTGACATTCCTGCTGTTCTGAGTGGTGACATTCTCAACTGCCACTGGGCAAGTAGAAGAGCTACCAGATGAGAAAAGCAGACACATTGCACAGGACAGTGGCCCTGAGGCAAGCACTCTCTGTGGAGAGACAGATAAGAAGTTAGGGTGGGAACAGGAAAAACAATGAGAGTCAAATGTGTGCACACTCAAACATCCAAATGCTTTCTTGAACCCAAATGCATGATTTGTGAAATAAAAGATTTAAGTGGATAAATAGAAGAACATGACCTTTGTGGAGATCCAAATCAGAAGCCAAGTAGAAGGCATGATTCAGAACAAAACAAAAGCATAAAGAAAAATCATGAGGAAAAACATAGGTGACACGGAAGATAGATCCAGTAGACTTAATATATTAATAATAGTCATTTCAGGAAGAGAAGTAGAAAAAGATGGAAGAGACAATCACTTAACATATTGTCTTAAAGAAGTGTGAGCTGGCTGATTAAGAGTTCCCTGAATCCAAGGAAAGACAGATTTACAAAAGAAAACTGATCCACTCTTAAGCATAACCTTATGGAATTGCTGAAGATCAGAGATGATGAGAAAACCTTAAGTCTTCTCAGATGAGAATAAGAGCCGCTTACAAAGTAAGAGTAAACTGGCATCAGGCACCTGGCCTGCCATGCTGGAAGATGGGGAGGAAATGCTGATGGAGAGGGAGGGCTGCAGAGCCAGATCTTCCCCACTGATGATGTCATTTGTTATCTTCAAGATTCAGAGAAAAAAGCTACTCACTGGAGAAAAGGTCTACAGGAACACTCTATCCCATCAACGACTTAAAACAGACATCTTTCCAGATTCAAGATGAGATGAAAGAAGAGAAAAAGCAGCAGCAAGCCATGGATCTTGAAACATACAGTTAAAAATGAATGGAGATTGCCTGAAAATGTTGTGAGATTGAAATACTTGATAAATGTTCTGTAGACAGACAGACATAATGCAAAGGAAAATATCAATGGGAATCTGTGTCAAAAGTTTCTAAGCCATCTCCATAAAATCTAGAGTTAGATAAAAGGCAGGTAAGTTTTAAGGGAAAATAAAAATTTTTAAGTCTCAAATAGATGTCAAAGACAGCAGTGGGCAGACAGGCCATTATGTGGGGGCTTATGTAAAATATTAAGGAAAACATGTTTGATAATGAGTTTGGGGAAGGGATTAGAAAAGTATACTAAAACACCACAATTAACAAGGGAGGAATAAAATAGAATAAATATTATACTGAACAAACCAGAAGAAGAAGGAGAGGGAAAAGTAGGGAAAAGGAGAGGGGGGGAACAGGAAATAAATAGTAAATACAAAGTAAAGCAGAAAGCAAATAAATAAATAAATACATCAGTCTTTAACAAATATGGATGGGCAGAATTCTCCTATTAAAATTCAGGGATTGTCACATGGAAAATCAAATAATAGTATAAATATTGTAAAATTAGAAAAAAATGATCTCCTTTGCCAAAGATCATACTCCTAGAGAACAAAAGGAAAGCCATCAGATCTAAGGAGAACTTGATTTACATTGCTTGATTTTAAGATAACATAAAGAAATACATAGTTTTTCTATGCTGGATAGAGCTAAAAATGGAAGTAAGAGAAGCATTATATTCACAGTAGCAACACAATTATAGAATACTTTAAAAAGCCTATTAAGAAAGATACAAAGTGGATCAGACAAGATCTGAAAATATAAAAAAATGTGTTTTAGAATGAAAACTTTTATTATCATCAAAAATATAAATTCTTCAAAATTTTGTGTAATCTCAAGGTGATGGACAACTAAAATGCCAACTTTGTGTTGATGTGTATTGAAAGAGAAGCTGGGAATTATATAAAATGATCTTAAAGGTTATCATCTAAAGAGAGTTAGTAAAGGTTATCTCTAAAGAGAGTTATTAAGAAATTATTATTGAAAAATAACAAAATAACCTTCCTATTTTTAATAGATTATTTTAAAGTAATAATCAAAATTGCATGATACTCATGCTAAGCAAAGTAAGCCAATCCCAAAAAACCAAAGGCTGAATGTTCTCTGATCCATAATGGGGGCGGGGCATGTGAAAAATGGAGGAACTGTGAATGGGCAAAGGGGAAAGGACATGGGGGCAGGAAAAATGGTGGAGTGAGATGTAGACATCGTTACCTTAGGTACGTGTATGACTGCACATATAGTGCGATGCTATATTGTGTACATCCAGAGAAATGAAAAGTTGTGGTGCAATTGTGTACAATGAATCAAAATGCATTCTATAGTCATATATACCTAATTAGAATAAATAAATTAAAATAAAAAATAAATTTTAAAAAATATGATACTGATATAGAAAGACACAGAAAAACTTCAGACTTTCTTTTTTATTAATGTGAGAACCAGAGTTTAATATTAAAACTACATTAAGTATTATGAGCATTTTATAATGTGTATTTCCTTATAAAGATGCAACAGATAAGAGCCGTTCTATGAATTTTGTAGCTCACATTTTTCATTGCTTGCTACTAAATAAATGAGAGGACTCAAATTTCTCCATCACAGTCGTTACCAAATATCTTTAAGGGAAATATGACTTTCTTTGTACTTACTAATCCCCAAATACCTGAGTTTCTGGATATCATTCGGAATAGAAGTAATTTCATTGTAGGAAATATCAAGTTCCTCAAGATGGGCCAAGGAAAATAACCTAAAACAGAGAAAACTAATTGTAAATATGACTATCTATTTGTCATAGTTGGGAATAAAAGAATCAAATATTTAAGTTCATAGGTGATAGTACAGAAGTTGTACCTTGCCATTTATGTAGACATTTATATAGACATTATCTTGACATTTATATAGACATCTTTTCATTAGATATGGGGTAATTACTTTCTAAAAATTATTTATCTATCCAATGAGACTTGTTTGAGATATTTGGAGTGGGTAAAGCCCCATTTAGAAAAAGGCACCTGAGACATTTTTAAAAGCATTTAAAACACACACACACACACACACACACACACACACTCTCCATTTTTCGTGTTTGCTGTATTAGTGTCCTCAGGCTGATATAACAAAGAACCACAATCCAGGTGGCTCAAAAAACAGAAATTTATTCTTTTGCAGTTCTGGAGGCCAGAAGGCCAAACTCCAGATGTCAGCAGGCTGATTCCTCCTAGAGGTTCTGAGGGAGAAACCATCCCTTGCATGTCTCCCAGCTTCTAGAGGCTGCCTGCAGTCCTTGGGGTCCCTTAGCTTCTGACAACAGAACTCCCACCTTGGACTTTGTCTTCCTATAAGGATACCAGTTATTGGACTTAAGGCCTACCCTAATTCAGTATGACCTCATGGTAATTTAACTAACTGCATCTATGAAGACCTTATTTCCAAATAAGGTCACATTCTGAGTTTCTGTATGGACACAGATTGTTCAGCGACACTACTCAACCCAATTGCATTAAGACTTCCATGGTGAAATACCTTTGATCATTCTTTCCATTGAGATAAGTTCCTATAAGTAAAAACCAAAGAATGCCAAGACTTTATAACAAGTTATGCAGTTATAAGAACTGAAGAATACTGTTATTCTGCCACAAGCCCTGTCTCCTGGAGGATGAGAGTGGGAATCACTTCTTGAAGATTGGAATTGAAGGGCTCAATATATAATATTTATCATAACCTCTAGTGAAAATCCCTCTTTCTGTGTGTGCTATCCTCAAATGTCTTTCTGATTCCCTATAAATAAAAGATGTAAATTTACTTGCATGATTATTAACTAAGGCATCATTAACACGGTATTTCACTAACTTTTTACTATTTTAGCATGACATACAAAGGTCCTTAGGACCTGGCTCCAGATTACTTGTCTATCTCACCTTTCACACTCTTCTCCATTGTCCCTGTAGTCCAGGGACAAATTTTATTTGCTAAAATTATTTTATTTGTTAAATTTATTTGCTAAAATTCTCTGCATTAACTAGTTCTCACGTATCTCCAAATACCACATGTATTTTCCCCAACACTTGACTTGTCTTTCAAGTTTTAAGTCTTGGTTCAGATATTAGCTCTTTCAAGGAACTACTTCTGACTCTTTCAGAGTAGGAAGATTTCTCTTCTGTACTTCTCTGCTTGCCTCTATCATGGGACCTGTAGCATTGTGCAATAAATGCTTGCCTCCTAAACTCATAAGTTCCTGGAGGGATTCCTTTTTGCATTTCTATATATCCACTCCTCACATAGCACCTATGTGTATCAGAATTACTGAGTAAATCACAATTGGATGAAAGGAGTGGTGATTCCAGGTAACTTAAAATTAAATGCTCTGAGAAATTAAGATTGACTAGGAAACTGGGTGTGGTAGTGCACACCAATTTTAATCACCTCTATAAAGAATATGATAATATCATTTGCTATAATTTGCAATTCAAAATATGTTTTATTTTCTTGCCTCATCCTGAACTCCCCCTTATTCTAGTTCCAGGCTTTTAGGTGGATGATATGTCCTGATGACTGGGAAGTTGAATTAAGGCTTGTGGGCAGCATCAAGGAAGCAGCTTAGGTTCCAGAGTGGGACTGACCTCATCTGTGATTTTAGAAAGCAAATTTAGAAAGCCTCAGTTTGTTCTGGTACTCTATACACCATTAGCACCAACTCTGTCCCTTTTTTTTTTCTTTAGGATATATAGAGTTTTTAACACTTATTTCATTGCTTTATTTACCAGCACATTATTGGGCAAAAGGTGCTTAGAGCCCTGCTGCTAGCTTGGAGGAATAGGCTATCATTAATAATTACATGTTTTAATGGTGATGATTAAATAATAAATATAATTTATTAGTAGCATACTGTATGTTCATGCCAATTTAGAATGTTCTTTCACCATACCATTCCAAGATTGTTATCCTTTTTTTTTTTTCAGGTATCAGATATGTGGAGACAAAGAAACTTAATCCCCCCTTTTAATCTATAACAATATGGGAAAACAAAGTATGCAACGTCAGTTGTTAATACAGAAAAACCAGCTGTTAATATAGGCTCTCAAGTTAGTTGCCTGGTATTTTGTTCTAAATAGATTCTCTTTCCCAAAGAAACTGCCTGCTCATTAAAGCAAACTGAATCAGATAAGGAAAGCAAACATTTGATTCTGATAGTTAAAAGTTGCAATTTTCTATATCATTTTTATTCTGCTAGCCACTGAGAAAAAGATAAGGACTTTTTTTTTCTTTCTTGAACTTTTGTGATAGTTATCTCTGCATAACCTCAGGGTTTGAGTCCCAAAAGTTGTTTTGGTAGCAAATAGTATTTGTTTATGAAATATGTGTTTTTCTCTGTTCCTAAAAGGTTGTAATGACATCACCAAAACAAGCTTCTTTCCTTTTTTGGTTTCCTTTTCTCTCTTTCTTAACTTCTCTAAAAGTTTTGGGGAAAGAAAAAAAAACTCTGGATTTAAAGTGATTTATTATCTTTATTTTATAAATCTTTCAAAAAGACAAATCAAAGAACTTCTCATGATTGCAAAATTCCAAACATGACAATTGATTATACATTGATAGTCTCTAAGGGGCATGGCTTGGATGATAGTTCTTTCTGACTCCAAAACATGGGCCTTCCTTCATCCATGTTGCTGCATACCAGATGCCCCACCAGGTAGGAGCAAACCATCAGAAACAAAAATGCAGGCCTCTGTGAATTGGTGCTCTTACCAAATAGACTTTTTTCCTCATTAACTTTTAATTCACCTACATTGAAACAGTCAGCTGTTATATAATTTTTTAAATGTTGGATATTTCATTTTGATTTTGAAACTTAGGTCAAGGGGAAAAGAAAAAACTGTAGAAATCATTGAGATAATTTAAAAAGTAATCTACAAGGTTTTCTTATTTTCTAACTTCCAGATAGAAACTGAAGTTAAGGTTAAGAGTGCTGAAGTTAAGCTTTTAGCATCTAAGGGGCAAAGCTCACCTCTGACAGTCCCTAGCCTTTTCAAGGACGCCACAATGCCACGTTGAGTCTCATGAAAGCAGAAAGATCTAGTGAGGAGTAGGAAGATAATAGGGAAAGAACTTCATCACAGTTTTAGAAAAAGTTTAAGAAGTCACCTAAATAATATATCTGAGAAAAATGTTTTTTATAATATGGAAGTGATAAGAAAATTTGGATGATAATAAGAAGACTAGAAAAAGGTGATCTTCTTAAACATGTTTTTTTGAGGTATTTGTTTTTTTGTTTTTGGTACTGGGGGTTTAACCCAGGGGCACTTAACCACTGAATCACATCCCCAGCCCTTTTTATTTTTTATTGTGAGACAAGGTCAGGCTAAGTTACCTAGGGCCTTGCTAAATTGCTGAGGCTGGCTTTGAACTTGCCATCCCCCTGTCTCAATCTCCCAAATTGCTGGGATTATAGGCATGTGCTGTAAACCTGGCTCTTAACTTTTTTTTTTTTTTTTTTGGTACTGGGAATGGAACAAAGGGCACTTTACCCCAGCCTTTTTAAAAAAATTTTTTATTCTTTGACAGGGTCTCACTAAGTTGCTGAGGGCCTTACTAAGTTGCTGAGCCTTTTCTCAAACTGGAAATTCTCCTGCCTCAGCCTCCCACATCATTGGAATTATAGGCATGAGCCACCTGGCCCAGCAAAAAAGTATACATCTTAATTTAAATTCTAATATTATGGCTTCAAACAAGTTGTTTATTTAATAAAGTACTGCTAAATTTTATTTGAATTGCTAGATGTATACTACTAACCGCATGCTTTCTTCAAATGTCCTTTTTAAATAAGGCCAACCTGAATATCCCATTTAAAATTTCATTATCACTTCCTTATACCATTCTATTTTCTTCTTTTTCATAACACTACCTTTTAAGTTACTCCATTTATTACCTGCTAGGTAATTTATTTACTGTGTATATTACTTATTCTATGAATATGTGAGATTCAGAAGTGATTTCATATTAGCTTTCTATTGGTGCCATTTAAATTGCAACATTAACTTTGTGCCTTAAAGTCTCAAAGATTGATTGTTTTACAATTACATAGATCAGAAATTTGGCACTGTCTCACCATACTAAAATTAAGTCTTCAGCCAGCTGCATCCCTCTTTAGAGAATCTGTGTCTTGCTCATTCAGGTTGTTGCTGGAATTTGATTCCTTCTGTCTGCAGCACTGAGGTCCCTGTGCTCCTGTTGGCAGCAAGCTAATGACCCTTCCCAGGTTTTACAAACTGCCCTATTGCATTCCTTGACTCATGGTCGCCTTCCACTTTTGTAGCAGCAAGAACAGGTCCGCAGGTTGCTTCCTTCTTTAAGTCCTGCCGCTTCCCTTCCATTTTTAAGAGCTCATGGAATTAGACTGGGTCCATTTGGATAATCCAGAATAATCTCCCTACTTTTTAAAATCAGTGATTAGAAACCTTTTGGTTTCTAGTCTAAATTCCTGTTCCATGCCATGTAACACATCCATGTTTTGTGGGGATTAGGATGCAGACATCTCTAGGAACAATTATTCTGCTGATCATAGTCCATCCTAGAGATTTACCTCTACCCCACCTGCAAAATATCTTTAGAGATCCCAAACTCCCCTAGGTCTCATCCCGTTACAGTGTCAACTCAAAGTTCAACATCTCATCTAAACTCAAACCCAAACTTCATCCTTTAAAGCAGGTGGAGGTGAGGTTCCAAACATAATCTCTCTGGGGACACAATATTTTCTCTATTGGTAGTTCTTGAAACTAAGGCAATGTTATCATCCTCTAAGATACAACGGTGGGGCAGGCATAGAATAACAGTTATAGACATTCTGGTTCAAAAGGGAGAAAATGAAAAATTGAAAAGCAGTTACCAATCCTAAGCAATTTAGGAATCCAACTGGGTAAATTCCATTTGCTTTCAAGGCAGGGAATCATCATCTGCATCTCACAGTTCAACCCACTGGCTTTGATGTCCTTCCCTCCAGGCTCCTGGCTCTGCCTCAGGCATCAGCTTTGCTCTCTTAGCTCAATAGCAATACTAAATCATTACAAGTTTCTTCAAACCTCCTTTTTAATCATCATTCTTCATACAATCAAAGATGACCGTAATTCAAGTCATTTCAGAGTCATCTCCCTCAACTGACACATAATAGGAGCTAAAAAAATTTTTGTTAATAAGTGGGTTTCCAGTTTTCCCACCCACAGGAATGCATGTTTTTCCATATTCATTCTCAGAGCCTGCTTCCGGTTTTAGGAGATAGGGTCATTCCTCCTATTCAAGACCAGGATCTCCACCTGTGCCCATGACTCCTTTCCCTTCTACCTCCTGTGAGGTTATGAAGTTCTGCCCCATCAGGCATCCTTCCATACGGCCAGCCAGTCTATTTTCTACTGATACCTTTCCATCATTCTGTGAATATGCCTGAGTCTTTTTTTTTTTTTTGGGGGGGGGGTACCAGGGATTGAACTCAGGGGCATCAACCATTGAGCCACATCCCCAGCCCTATTTTGTATTTTATTTAGAGACAAAGTCTCACTGAGATGCTTGGCCCCTCAGCTGTTGCTGAGGCAGGCTTTGAACTCTCAATCCTCCTGCCTCAGTGTCCCAAGCCTCTGGGATTATAGGCAAGCACCAGTGCACCAAGCTGCCTGAGTCTTTTTTTTTTACTTATTTTTTAAAATTATTTATAACAGTGGAATGCATTACAGTTCTTATTACACATATAGAGCACAATTTTTCATATCTCTGGTTGTATACAAAGTATATTCACATCAATTTGTGTCTCCATACCTGTACTTTGGATAATAATGACCATCACATTCCAACATCATCTCTAACCCCCTGCCCCCTCCCTTCCCCTCCCACCCCTCTGCCTTATCTAGAGTTCTTCTCCTCCCCTGCTCTCCCTCCCTATCCCACTATGAATCAAAAAAAAAAAAAAAAAAAAAACCTAACAAAAATGTTTCTAAGATCCCATGTTCTTTCTATCTTTTATTGAATCTCTCTCCTCCTGGTACATCCAGATTTCTCCAAAAGGTGGTCTCTATACTTACTCATCATTACCAATTTCTCTCCTCCCCTTCTCTCTCAACCCACTACAAACTGGCTTTTGTTCCTACCATTCCATTGAAACTGTTCTCAGATTTAACCCGAGTTTTTCTGATATACTTGGTACTGTTAGTCATCCTCTTTTTCTGAAGTAACCTGGCTTCCACAGTACACCTGGTTCTCTTTGTGCAATTTGACAGTTTTTCCCCCTCCATCTCTAGAATTTCCTCCTCATCTGTCTTTAGCTGAAATGCTGATATTTTTCCAGCAACATCCCTTCAGATAATTCCTCTACATATTCTCACTGCCTTCAGTTAGTATATACTGTTAATTCAAAAATCTTTATTTCCAGGGGTTGGGATTGTGGCTCAGCGGTAGAGCGCTCCCCTAGCACGGGCGGGACCCGGGTTCGATTCTCAGCACCACATAAAAATAAAGGCATTGTGTTGTGTCCATCTACATCTAAAACATAAATATTAAAAAAATTTATTTCCAGCAAAAAATTCTTCTGTGGTTCACTATGTCTAAGTCCAATGGTGGGATAGAAAACAACCCCTGACCAACATATTGATCTAGGGTTAAGCACATTATTTCCCTCCCTTCAAAACTCCTTAGCTTTAATCTGGTCTTTGTTTTGCTTAAAACTAATTAAGGGCTTCTCATGGCACTTAAAATATACATTTCTTCATGTGACCTCCAAAACTTGATGGGATGTAGCCATTTTCAAACACTTGGCCCTCACCTGGGGCCACATTCTCATCATTCCCAAAACCAGGCTGGCTTCCTGGAAGCCTTTGAAGGGCCAGGCTCTCACCTACCTTATTCCCACTGCATAAAATATTATTTTCTCTGTTCTTGGCTTAGACTCATATATGTCTGCTAAATTTCATTTCCTCAAATAATGTTTTCTTAGCAAATCAATTTAATTCATATTCCTTCTTTCTGTTCTTTTCATTCATAATCCTTAGAATACGTATTTATTTATTACAGTGTCTATTAGAATTTCAATATCCTTCTCTGGATTCTAAACCCCATAAGAGAAGGGATCATTCCCCTTCCAGTCTACTAATCTAAATCCAATTCTTAATAAAGAACCCACTATTTAGTAAATAATTAATAAATAAATTTTACATGATTAAATTATTCTACTGTAGGTATCTGGGAGTCGCAATGCATTTTTTTTAGCCTTGACTTCTAGGTTTCTTAACTGCTGAATGTCTGATCAGTACCAAATCTTGCAGATTATGCTTTATTTCTCAACAATATCTTCCTTCTCTGTGCATATGACCATTGCCCTGGTTCAAGGTTTCTTTATTTCTTGCTGAGCTATTTTAATAGCCCTACAACTGGTCCCCTTGAATTCTGCTTGGTCCCTCATATCCATCGTCTGAACTGCCACCAGTGTGACCTAAAATAGATTCCATATTCCCCTGTGGAAAACCCTGTAATGTATTCTCATTGCATATAGCATAAAGTATAATTTTTTAAAAATCTTGACTCACAAGGACCCTGGTACCAGGCTCATTTCTCACCACTTGACTTTGCTTCAAAAATAACAAACTCCTTATATTTTCCATCCCATATTTTATATGTTGCTTCCTTGCTATCTTCTTTTTGAGCAAAAAATTATGGGACCAACTCTCTCTTGCTCTCTCCAGACCCTGAAACCCAGCTAACTCAGTCGTACTTGGATCAAACATCATCTCTTCCAGGGAGTCATCTCTTATCCTCCAGAATGAGTTGCATGCTAGTCTATGGAATTCACACATCTTACAATTTACATCGCTATTGTTTTACTTTACTAATTGTATCCAACTGTCTGCCTTCCTTGTAGGCAGTGAGCTCCTGGAAGTACATAGTAGATGCTTCATCAACATCTGCTGAATTAAGTACAAAAACGAAAACATAGCATTCGAAGTGCATCAGGGTAATTACTTTTGACAGTAATAACATCCAAAATTCAAAATTTATATGGAACTGGAACTATCTCTAATATGTTGCATAACTGTTTGATTCACTGCATTTCACTCCATTTTACTCAGTTAATGCTCCCTAAATCCTGCCACTGTACATTGGGTCATTTGTGCTCAGCAAACTGGAATTCTGACAACAGTTCCTAAGTATACAGAGTTCAGCCTTTCCCTTGCTGTACAAGCACTCTCTTGGTGAGTTTTTACTTAACAAACTCTGCAAACAAACATTTTAACTTATGTCAGATGTTGCTATAAATCTTCTCTGAGGTCAATAAAGTTTTCCCATTATGTTTTTCATTCTTGGCTTCATTATGCCATCAATCTTTTCTGGTTATGTATATTCAATGCTATTTTATAAAAATTATAGTACTTTCTTTAAGAAACACTTATATTTTGAAAACTAGCTCCTTAAAACCAAGAGTTCATACTAATTTGCCCAATCTCTTAACAATGAACAATATGTTGTCCCTTTAGTTGTGATCAAATTTTTGTTGCTTTAGGGATTTCTACATTTTTAAATGATGGTTATGATTATTTATAATATGTAATTATGATTACAGGTTATCCAGCACAAATTCATGTCTAGGTGCTGCATATGTAACTGCATATGTACATAAATATTTATATATTTCTGTATATATATACAAATATATGCAATTTATGTGTGTATGCATATATATATATAATGTAACATGGATATTATATATAATATCTTTAACTTACATTCAGTTTGTTAAACTATAGTTTAAAGAAGTATCTTGTTTGGGCATTTGGTTACAATATGGGTTTACAGCTTTCATTAAAAGTTAAATAAGTTCAGCCACGCACTGTGGCCCACACCTGTAATCCCAGCAACTTGGAAGGCTAAGGCAGGAAGATCACAAGTTCAAAGCCAGCCTTAGAAAGTTAGTGAAATCCTGTTTCAAAATTAAAAAGTAAAATTGGTTGCGGATGTAGGGTTAAGCGCCCTGGGTTAAATCCCCAGTAACAACAACAACAAATTAATGGTTCTTATGTAAGAAGTCCATCTCTATATACCCAAATATAAGCCTTTCTATTAGAGTTGGAAAGATCTTAGATAGCACTTAGGCCAATCTCCTTGGTTTATATATTAGGAAATTGAGGCCAAGAATTGTCAAATTACTTCCTGCAGGTAAAATATCAACTTTAATATTAGAGGTGTACATTCCAAATCCAAGTTTAGTGCTCTTCCCATATCCCCAAAGGCCATGAAAGGCAGGTACAAGGTTCTCATCTGAACTGTATTACAGGACTCTGGTTCATTTACTCCATAATCAGTAGCAGATCTTTAGATGAGTATTCACTAGACTCATATTAATTGCCATTTATGCAGCTGATAGGATTATTTTTAGTATCAGAATAAGAATCAAATCAGTTAATTAGAAGAGAAGAATACTGTTTCCAAAGGGTAGCTTATTCTTTACTAAATTAAATAGTTTAATTTTATTTCCTATGTTTATAATCTCAGATAATCAAGCTTACCCATACGGAAGAACATGAATATAATTAAAAGCAATGCTGAAAATTCGAAGGAACTTAAGGTATTGGATTTCAGAAGGAATTTCTTTGATGGGATTATTTCTCATTTTCAGTATTTGTAGATTTTTAAGACAAAGTATCTGGAGAATAGAAAAGAGAAACAAATATGAACAGAATAATAACTCCTATTTGCTACCTTAACTCTTTGAACTCTATCGTGAAATCAGTATGACAACATAACTTGGCTTATAACCTATATCTCAACAATACTTTTAAAAAATTTTTTATTTTATTTATTCTAACTTGTTATATATGACAGCAGAATGCAACTCAATTCATATTACACAAATATTAGCACAAATTTTCATGTCTGTGGTTGAACACAAAGTAGAGTCATACCATTCTTGTCTTCACACATGTACTTAGGTAATGATGTCTGTCTCATTCCACTGTCTTTCTTACCCCCATGCCTCCTCCCTTACCCTCCCCTCCCCTTTGCCCTGTCTAAAGTTCGTCTATTCCTCCCATACTGGCCCCCATCCCCATCATGAATCACCATCTTTATCAGAGAAGATATTTGGCATTTCAACAAATACTTCTAATAAACCTTTAAAACAAGTGACCAGCATTAATATGTATGATCAAGAGAGATAGAGCAACTAGTATATTCATATGTCCTTGACTCAAGAAGAGTTCTTTTCAAAATGGGAAAGGTCAGCCTTTTTGATCAAGCTCAGAGTTTCATGTGAAGCAATCATGAAAAGATAAGGGAGGAAGGAGACAGCGGCAGAGCTGGGAAGGTAAGTGGACCCAACCACTTGGAGGAGAGTGATTCAACAATACTCTACTCGGCTATCTAACAATAACAGAGTATCTAACAGAGTATCTAACAATACTCAGTGAAACAGTCTTATAGTAAGACTGTTTCATGAGCTATCACAGTAATTTAATTTTCATATCAAAGTTAAAGATATATCATTTATACCCATGATCTTTGCTTAATATAAATTTTGCTTTCTGCTCTCTGATGAATCTTGTTTTTGTTTGTTTGTTTCATTTTTTTGGTTCTGAGGATTGATTCCAGGGATGCTCTATTACTGAGAGACATTCCCAGTCCTTGTTTTATTTTTTATTTCAAAAGACAGTGTCTCACTAAGTTGCCAAGGCTGGCGTTGAACTTTGCAATCCTCTAGCCTCAGCTTCCCAGTTGCTGGGATTATTATTATTATTGAGCCTTTAATAAAAATAAAATAACAAATTGATGGAGTGGAGGATAGTAAATTTTGTAGCCAATTTATTTATAGTATTGTCTTAAAATCTCTTTTTATAAAAAATTGGTAAGGTCAGGAGCGACCTTTCATTCTTGGTTTTAGTATCAATGCCTTCTGCCTTTTTTATTCCCCCATCAGTCTATGTAGGTTTGTGAACTGTTGTGGATCACTTCAACGTAATAACATTTGGGCTTGTTGGTTTTATTTCTCTTTTTTCTACTCTCTATTTCACCAGTTATAGTACTAGTTTTTATCATTTCCTTTTTTCATTTTCATTCTTCTCAATTTTTTTTAAATTTCTCTTTTGATTTCTTCTTTGACTCACGGTTAACAATGAGTTGCTTAATTTTCACATGAGTGAATTTTCAAATCTTGGACTTTGATTTCTAATGTCATTCCACTGTAGTAAAAAAAATAAACCTTTATGATTTTTAATCCTTTTAAGTTTGTTGAGGCTTGTTTGAGACCATACACATGGTCTATCCCAGAAAATGAAAATTTGGGAATGTTTTTTCCTATGGCTATTGGTTGGACTGTTTCATAGATGTCTTTGAAGTCTAATTGGTTTACAGTGTTGACCAATTCTTCTATTTCCCTGTTGATATTATTCCTAGTGGTTCTATGCATTATTGAAAGTGATGAACGTATCCAATAATAATTGTCGAATTTCTTATTTCTTCCTTTCTTTCAGTTTTTGCTTCATAAACTTTGGGGCTCTGTTGTAAAAATACATGTATGTTCACATCATCCTGATATATTGACAAAATGTCCTTCTTTGTCTCTTGTAACATTTTTTGTTGTAAAATCTGTTTTGTCTGATACTATTACAGTCACTCCAGCTTGCATGATATATCTTTTCTCATGCTTTTACTTTCAATCACTTTGTCATTTTCAAACTTAAATGTGTCTTCTACAGATAGCATATCACTGGACCCTGTGTATTTTTGAAGCCCAGCTGACAATCTGTGAGTTTCGCTGAATGTATTCACGGTTAACGTTATGACAAACACAACTGGATTTACACCTGCCATTTTACTTTTAACTTTCTATATGTCTTATGATTTTTTTGTTCCTTATTTACTGCTTTCTTTTGCATTGAGTAAATATTTTCTAGTGCAAACATTTTAACTACTTTAATGATTTTTCACTATATTCTCTTGAGTTCTTACTAGAACCTACTTCGTATTTACATAAGCTTAATTCCAGTTAGATATAGAAATGTTCTTCTCTGTAGTCTATTCTGTCTTCCCTTTATTCTTCTGTAATTGTTAAACATATTGCATCCATAGGTTATAAGACTAATGATATATTATTATAATTATTACCAAATATAATTTTACATCTTTTTAAAGAAGCTTAGAGAAGAAAGGAGACCAAATATGTTTACATAGAATATTATATTAACCTTCTTATTTAACATTTCTGCTTCTACCTTCTCCTGTCCTCAAATATTGCAGCAGACTCTGTGCTCTGCCTGATTCCCCCATCTTAAATCCTGTCATAATTCCAGTCACCCCACTCACCCAAGTCCCCAGGCTTCCATCCATTGCCTGTGTCCCATGCTAGTAACTGGGTATAATTAGCTCACCTCAATGTAGCCCTTCTATGCCTGGATGTTACCACTCTCACTAGAATATTTTATCTACAGCTATATAGCACAGATGTACATAGCAAAGACAAGTTTTACTAATTTATATCACTTTAAAGATAAGCACTCTGTATTTCATATCTTAACAGCTCCCCTGCATTTAAATGTCATTTTTTTAATGGATGGAGAATTTTTGTCAGATACACACTGCCAAAATTAAATTAGCACACAAAACTAAGATCCTTATTTTCCTTGGGAATCCGTCTCAATTTGTCTTAGTCAAATTAATAAAACTGGTTTCATTGTTTAGAAAAGTAAAAAGCAAGTCTTCCTATTAAAAATAAAAACTCCTTCTCCTTCTACTTTATTTTTCCTCAAAGCTCTTATTATCATAGGATAGATCACTCCCAAAGATGTATGATCTCCCCCCACTACAGCATATGCTCCATGAAATAGGTATTTTGTTTGTTTTGCTGGAAAATATGTGTTTTCACTACTACATGTTTGAAATAGGAAGCAGGTCAATTTGGATTGAAAATTAAAAATGGCTTAACTTGGGGCTGGGGATGTGGCTCAAGTGGTAGCGCGCTTGCCTGGCATGCGTGCAGCCCAGGTTCGATCCTCAGCACCACATACAAACAAAGATGTTGTGTCCACCAAAAACTAAAAAATAAATATTTAAAAAAATGGCTTAACTAAATGTCAATATTCTGAAAGTCAATTCACAAAACAATTAATCACCCAGTGACTGGTGAGGCATTGACTACAGACACTAAAACAAACAAACAAAAAACAATTTGCCCTAATGTCTTGTTTATTTAAAATGGCATTAAATTATATCATTCCAGATATGTTATCCTTCATATATTTCATTGAGCAGTCTATGGTTAATTAAACTTGCTAAAGTATCACCTGATCACTAACTTTGTTTTCAGAGCTTTGGATTGGCATGGGGACATGTTTATTATTAAGAACTAGAAGAAATATTTTTTGTATATTGAACAAATTTTACACAGTAAACATATTGGAGAGTCTGACTATAGCATAGCCTTTGAGGATTATGTCAAGGGACTTCCTAAGAAAAGTATACTACACTTTTGTTAATATGTATTTTTTTAAGTTGTAGGTGGACACAATATCTTCATTTTACTTTTATGTGGTGCTGAGGATTGAACCCACTGTCTCACACCTGCTAGGCAAGCCCTCTACCACTGTGCCACAGCCCCAGCCTTTTTGTATTGTATGAATAAGTCTTTTCAGTTGCAATACAAAATGTTTGTACTTTATAGTAACTTCAGGGTCTATTTTTTGGTTATAGTTATTCACAAATAATAAATCATAGCAATATATGTATATACAATAATTTTATATATATATACAAGAATTAAAATGGACTCACTTCTACGGGAAATTCACGGAGGTCATTAAATGATAAATTAAGATATATCAATTGGGAAGCCAAAGGTGAGAAGTCTGGACAATAAAGGAGAAAAAAACCCTAAAAGAAGTGAAAAGAGATTAATTCTTAACAATATATTCTCCCCATGAGAATGCTCCTTTTTAAATTTCTAATGGTAATACTACAAACTCATTAACACTGTCAAACTTTTCCTAATCTGTGAAGGGAGAAATTGTTTCTCTATGTAGTTTTAAATTGCATTGTTTTTATTTTGAATGAGGTCAAGTACTTTTCATATTTATAAGGGTATTTTGTTTCAGTGAATTGTTTGTTCACTTATTTTGCCCCCCCCCCACCCCCGCTTTTTTTTCTGTTGGATGCTATTGTAAATGCAATTATTGTCTTAATTTCCTTTGCTGGTACACAGAAACACAGCTGATTTTTTTTTTTTTTTTGGTGTTGATCTTATCCTCCGTAGCTTTGCTGAAATTATTTATTAGCTCTAGCAGCTTTCTCATCAGTGCTGATCATAACTCCAGCAACCATAATCAGAAATGTTGTAATCCCCAAAGATCAAATTCCCTGAAATCCCAAATCTCTAAAGATCAAAATCCCTCAAATCACAATCCTGAAAGATTAAAATTCTAAATGTTGTAACCCTAAGAACTAAATCTCCAAATTCCAAATTTCCTTTGAATAAAAGCCTACATAGGAGGGACAGAAAACTGAATTCTTGGGAAGGCATTAGTGTGTTTTTTGTTGTATGCAGTATAGTTGCCAATTTGTTCCATTATGTAACACTTCCCATTCACACATAAAGTCATGTTTGTCTTCAAGAAACTGTCAGAGCATGAGAAGGATTTGAGGAGTTCAGTGACCTTCTGACAGATGCTTGCTGATTCAGAAGTTTCTCCAGGGTTACAAAACACATTATATGGTAAGTTATTCTCGGTTAGGACTTCTTATATTTACCACTAAATCTCAAAGAAAAACTAGTGCATGCTTCACTTTGGCTAATGAGCAGCATTTTAAAACGGTCTTTAGTAGTTCTTTGTTGTTGATGTTTTTATCAAATATATAGGTTTTTTAGGCCAAAGAGTTCTGGGTTCAAATCGAAGTTTGCTTACTGTGTAGTCTTATGCAAGTTACTTTCACTGAAACTTGGTGTTTTCATATGTCAGATAAAGACTATAATACCTACTTTGCAGAATGCTAAGTTTTAAGAGTAGCATAGGCTTGGAACATAGTGAGTGCTTAATAAATGGTACCAAGTATTTCTGTTATGCATCATATTGGGTTTGTGTTTGTTGATAAATCTGAGTTCCGTTTCTCTTATTATGCCATGTAATGCAAAAGACACCATTACTGTTAGGATCTGAGCATCTTTTTAAACTTAGCTGGGGGGCTGAAGGCAAACTATAACAAATAGGTTTAGAGATACAATTTGACTCTGTTCCTGGGAAATCTTTATTGCAATAGGAAAGACTCCTTTAATACCATGGAAACTAACCTCCCTTAGAAGAGTGAAAGTAAAAATGATTGATAAGATATTGTCATTAGAAAGATCTAGAATACCTTAAGGTTAAGTGCATTTCTTCCATGCACTTGGCAAGTTACCACAGCCAGGTTGGCCATCGCTATTATTGTTTCGGAATGTGTTGTCTCAATAGTCTTAAAACCGTCACCGTGTAAAACGTAGTCTGATTCTGTTTTTTTATATTTAGAGCCACCTAAATTAACAAACAAAAATAAAACATGAAATTTATTTGTTTTATGTAATTTTTTAAATTTATATATGACAGCTTAATGCATTACAATCTTATTGTATATATAGAGCACAATTTTTCATATCTCTGGTTGTATACATAGTATATTCACACCAATTTGTGTCTTCATACATGTACTTTGGATAGTAATGATCATCAAATTCAAGTGTTATTGTTTAAGAGTGAAAGCTGAAGGGTGTTTATGCTATAAGATTGAGTCACCATGGGGAAAGTTATACACCTCTTCTGGAAGAAATGCCCCCTATCCTTCTTCTACCCAATCTTAGTTGATTCCTATTTGTCACATGAGTACCGTTTTGTTCAAGGTCATTGTACTGTCATGTGTAACTAATTAAAACAAATAAAAAAAAGTGAATAGCACAATTGTTTTTCAAACAAAATGATATGCTCACAGATTTTTACCTGGATAAGTCAGGTTCCATTAATCTCTGTATTTTTGTACTATATGTAAAATATTTGCAAAAATTTTACTACAAATCACAGGGAACAACCTTTTGGTCCACAAAATTAAAAGACAACACAACTCAGATATCACCTCCCAAGCGGCATCTCACTTTCCCCCTAACATCACCTGGATGTATGATTCAAATGCTGTACATAACTTACAATCTTCTCTCAGATTGTAGACTTCACATAGGAAAGGAAAGAAGACAAAAAACAACCCAGGAGTAGCTGAGCAAAGACCACTTACATTTAAATTTACTTTATCATGAGCATTCTGGAGGTCACCTTCCTTCAAAAATGGTCTACAAAAATATACACCAAAGTGCAGCCAAAAAATATTTTGAAATTTTAAAAAACTTATTTTAGGGCTTGGGTTGTGGCTCAGTGGTAGAGTGCTAGCCTAGTACAAGTGAGGCACTGGGTTCAATCCTCATCACCACATAAAACAAACAAATAAATAAATAAATGTCATTGTTTCATCTACAACTAAAGAAAAATATTTTTTAAAGCCCATATTTTATATCCACAGACATTTCTTGCAGTATTATTTGCAGAAACATATTTTACAACCTCAATTATTCTAAGCTATTGTTTCAGGGAGAGGAAATAAAGCATCCTAGAAGAACTACAAAAAAATTCTGTTTTTAATCTCTAAAATGAAAACTTTGTGCCCATTTTAGATCAATAGATATGAAAGTTAACCCCAGAATAAAGAAGGATGCATAATATAAAATAGTGATACCTTGTCTAGTGAGGGGAAATGGAGCAAGAACAAAAGGATTGTGTATTAAGACCTAAGTCTGTGACCTGATCCCTAATCATACATCCTCAGTATCTAAACCCAAGCATCTGGTTTTTGAGTGGAAAAGAGAAAGGGGTTAGAAAGTCTCTAATAGATCTCTGAAGTACCTGAGGATCCTTAAACTTTCCAAGGAGGGAAAATCAGAGTGGAAGAAGCTCAATAATGCAGGAATGGCGGCATGACTTGCCTGGGCTTATGATGTGGAAGAGACCCACAGTTCCTTTACATCACAGTGATACACAAAGACTGGGAAGAAAGGGAGGGCTCGGGAAGTCCTGTGGTGGAGTATTCTACCATGTATTTTCTCCTACTAAATGCAGCTATTGAAATATTAATTTGTTATATTATTTTGCCTACTCTAAAATTTCATTTGACTCTTATTTTTTTAAAATCAAAATTTCAGTCCTCTGGTGAAATTCTCCAACTTTTTTTTTCCCCCTCTTACATAGAAACCAATTGTTTTAAAATTCCAGTTTGAAACTGCAATATATGAATCAGCTATGCAGCTGCTTCTATTGCCTTGTTTCTTTCTATTGGTTTTCAGACATTTTATCTTTTTTTTAAAGAATGTTTGTGATTTTTTAAGCAATGCTAGACTTTGTGGAGGAATGATTTTAAGGGGTCTGGATAATTCTGTCTCTAACAAGTATCAGGTTTTCTTCGTTAGGCAGAAAGTATCACTTTGATTTATCAAGGATTGGTTTTGAATTTTTTTTAAAACTCTATAGTGTATTTTTGTTTTGTCCTTTCTCCTAGAACTTCATCCTTAGTCCTACGTCATAGGTCCTTTGTCATAGGTCCTCTGCATCTTCAATCAGAAGCCCAGTGAGTTATTAAAAGCCCTGCACATGGCCAGAGCTTGAACTCCATTAATTGTTTCTTATGCAACTGCAAAAATCTCTTGGCTTTTCAGCTGATGTTCTCTGCTGTGTTTCTCAATCCTGTCCTGCAGATGCACAGCTTCAAAATCAGCCAATGCCCCCAACGGAATCTGTGTATAGAATTTTTTAAAAAATTCATTTCCCTTCACTTTTCTCCTTTCCAAGATTTCGCTTCTCAAGTCCCAGCGACACTGGCCACTCTGAAGTCTGACTTCTATCTCCTCAACCTATGAAAACGACCACTTTCTACCTATATGTATTCTCCCACACCACAAATGCCCATAGGTCCAGCTAACTCAAGGGCTGCCCTTCTAGAGATTGTAGTGGCTCAGGTTGAGTCTGCATTGGTTGCTTTCCAGTACCTTTAATGACTATTTGAAGTATATTTGGCAGCTTTAATAGTTGATTTTGGCTGGAAAGTTTGTCCAATAGAAGCTACCCAATTATGACAGAACTGGAAGTCATCAGGTTATTTAAAATCTGTGCCTGATAATTCTCATACTTAATACTTTTAGGAGTTTGTTTCTACTACTTTCTCTTCCTGCTAGTCCTTAACCATTTTGACTTTCTCCTTTTTTGCCTGATAATTCTAAATCATATGCCCTGTACTATTTTTGTGAGATTGTTGCTAGAGATAAATGCAAAGTCTAGAACGGTGTGATCTTTGTTTAAGGAGAATTTTCGATTTGTCTCTGCTAGACCAAAGCACTAGCAGAACTGCACACACACATACACAAACACACAAAATCACCAATACTTTTATAGAAAGATAATCTTATATACAATTTCCAAAAGAATGATAATAGGCTTAGCATTTACCTTCAGGTAGCCTCAGAACACTTTCTCTCTTTTCATTTTCTGATGCAAGACTTTCTAGAAAAAAAAAATGGGAGAGCTTTTGGATACTTGTGAAAATTCACTTGAGGATGTTTTGGCTTCATTATAATTGTTAATTTAATGAACTTGTATTATCCATTGGAATGCATCCATGAAGCTATCCAATGGCACTGGTGTCCTATCTTTGGAAAACTAGATCACCTTCTAAATCATTGCTCACTGGTCCTTTACATTATTATTATTATTATTTTTTTGATCCTTTGAATTTCCTTACTGGTCTCCATCATTACCATTGGAGGAACTACCCCTTTTGGGCTTGGTAGATCTGCAGGGTAAAGATTTCTGTTCTTGCCCTCTGGCTCAGGTGTTAAATGTAAACACAAAAAGTGATTCAATTTGTCCACCCTGAACACCCAGGGGAGGGGCACCCTTTATGTTTCCTTTCTCCTCTTTGCTCCAATTGGTCCCCATTACTTGATACCATGTTCTGATTATATTTACCTATGATAGACTGTGGATGAGGTTTTCTTGGTAAAATCGGTGTTGGTAGGACAATGTTTCTTGGAAACTGAGTAATCCCTAGTAGCACTTTACTAATGGTTACTGCCTTGTGTGAGGCACTGACTAGACGACTTGGCAATACTGCACTTTTGGAAGAGTCACGCTTTCGTTTGTTAACTAACGAAGAACCGTCTGATTGAGGGAACTTTGAAGAAACAACCAAAATATCTTCTAATTTTTTATCAGTAATAATATTTTCTACTTTGGGTAGTTTAGTTGTGGACTTTTCTGAACTTCTTTTCATTTTTATTATATTTTTCTTGAAAAATTGAGTTGAAACTAAAGCATAACTTGGAATAAACATGGATCTGACATTTCTAGATTTTGTGGATGTTGAAATTGCAGTTACTGCTTCTGTTACATTTTGATCCAAAGAGTCAGCTTGGATATTGATAGGACCTTGAGCTTGTTCTTCTGAAGATACATCAAGTAAAGCAGGTTTTTTTGGAACTGGACTGGTTTCATCTTGAGTGAACTTTCCAGAGAGTGTCTCAATTTCACCAGTCTTGGCTATACAAGAGGAAAAAAATAAGAGCAAAGTTGAATGGCTTTTATCAAGATGTCAGAGAAAAAACTATAATGTCATAGCATTCACATTTTTGCTTTACCACTCACCCTTCTCTCCCTAAAAACATTTCCATTTATGTTTGCTTAGCTACCAAGACTTTTGTCAAGCTGATGGGGATAAAGTTTGAGAAATTTTAAACAACTAAAGAAGTTAATAGGCTAAATTGTATTAAATTTAGAAAGGGTAGGAAGATATGCTTGGAAGAACAGAACTGATGGGAAAAGACTAAGATAAAAGGCCAACTCCACTGCTCTGGGCCCATGACTATAATTCCAAGCACATCATGGAGGAAGGGCACAGCAGAAGAAAACTGCTCAGGTCAGGAGGGCTCAGGAAGCAGAGAGAGGTAAGGGGCTGTAGGAAGAGGCACCCTTCCAGGGCATACCTGCAGTGATCCACCTCCTCCAGCCACACCCCACCTGCTTCTACTAACCAACCAGTGAGTCCCTTCAAACTAGGATAGACTGATTAGGTTACAGCTCTTGTAATCATTTGACTTCTGACCGCTCTCCCTGCATTAACAGGAGCTTTTGGGTGACTGCTCACATGCAATGGTAACACACAGCTCCTATCCCTCCTTCTTCACATTTAACACAGAAAATCAGTCTGACCTCGGGGCTTTATTCAAATGATGTGTCAACTGTAGAGTTTCTAATTCCCAAATTCTAATGCTACCCCCCACCTTAAGGGGGCACACTCTCTTTCCATCTCCACCATAAGAATCACTTAAAAGGTGAGCTTTTTTCTGATGGATTTCTATTCTATCCATATCTGGATTAAAGTGAAAAAAAATTAAAAACTGAACATGAAATTAAGTTCTGCTGTTTCAGAATAGGAAGATAAGTTTTGTTGACCAAATTACTTACTAAAGCCATACATTACTTTAGTTGGTATTGAGACCAGAATTCAAATCCCTAGACTCCCATTGTAGAGCAAAATTTTGCACTGTTCACTGTTGATGCAAACAGGAAATAATTATGGGCCAAGTGAGAGTATTACAAATAACATCTTAAAATTAGACAGTAATTTTATAAAGTGCTTTTATATAGACATTTGAAACTTGATCTCTAAAAACTGATTTTTAAAAATCCCACGAATAGGTTTTCCCTTCTCATTTTCTCTGCCGTCCTCCTAGTCCACAATGGCTTAACTTTTCCCTTGGTTTCCTGATACTGCCTTACAACGTTTTCACTAAGTTACCAGAATCTTCACTGTGATAACTGAGATATAAGAATCTATGTAGTTGGTCATGGTGGTGCATGGCTATAATTCCAAGGATTCAGGAGGCAGGAGAATTGCAAGTTCAAAGCCAGACTTGGCAACTTAGGCCCAAGGCAACTTACTCAGCAAGAACCTGTCTCAAAATAAAAAATAAGAAAGGCTAAGGATGTGGCTAGGGGTTAAGTGCCCTGGGTTCAATCTGATGAAAGGAGGAGAGGAAGAGAAAGAGGGAAAGGGCAAAGAAGGAAGAAGAAGAAGGAGAAGGAGGTCGGGGGGATGAGGAGGAGGGGGAGAAGAAGAGGAGGGAGAAGGAGGAGGAGGAGGGGAGTAGAGGAGGAGGGGGAGAAAGAGAAAGAGGGGAGGAGGAAGAGGAAGGAGGAGAAGGAGGAGGAAGATGAAAAAGAAGGAGGAGGAAAAGGAGGAGGGGGAGAAGGAAGAAGAAGGAGAGGGAGGAGGAAAAGGAGGAAGAGGGGGAGGAGGAAGAGAAAGAGAAGGAGGAGGAAAAGGAGGTTGAAGAGGAGGCGGGGAGAAGGAAGAGGAAAGAGGAGAAGAAGAATCCATGTGATCTGGATTCATAGATTCACTTCAAGCTTACTGTGTCATGACATTTTCCAATGAGAACCCTAGTTATGATAATTACTACTGATAACCACAAATGTCATGCTGCTCATTAATCACTTCATTCTTAGGTTAATCACACTGCAGGGAATACCTTCTCTTACTAACCAATTTACATAGTTTTCTTCTTTCAAAGTTGACCTTATATAAGCATCTTTGATGATTACAGCTTGACTTATTGTTCTCATTAATTCATTGAAGACACATTAACACCTATGGTATGTGCCAGTTGTACACACTGTGCCGGGGGTACAACAGCACAAACCTTACTATCAGCAAAGATCTCACAAATTAGTATAGAAACCAAGCAGGTAAACAGTGGCAATGGAAAATGATAAGTAGTTGGTAGGAATTAAGTACAGGCTACTGTGAAGAAGAGGGGAAGGCAGTCTTACTGGATAAAAAAGAGAAGAGATGCTTCAAGAAATCTTTCCAAACAAGATGATGTCTGTCTTCTCAATTCCATACTTCCCTGTTTTTTTTTTTCTTTGACAAATCTCACCATGATCATTTCTGATTTTTTTCTAGTATATTAAATTTCTACTATTCAAGCACTTTCCTCTATCATCAAAAATTGCCAAGGTCTCCTCTATAATTAAACATATTCCATACCACTTTAATTCTTCAAGTCTTATTTCAAGCCGTGTACCAATCACAGTGCTTCCTCTCTCTCTCTCTCTCTCTACTGAGAATTGAACTCAAGGGTATTTAGCACTGAGCAACATCCCCAGCCCTTTTTATTCTTTTGTTTTGAGACAAAGTCTTCTAAGCTGCTGAATCTGGGTTGGAACTTAAAATCCTATTGCCTCAGCCTCTCACAATAAAAGTATATTAAATATTGTTATGGTTTGGATATGTGGTGTCCCCAAAAACCTCAAGTGTGAGACAATGCAAAAATGTTAAATAGTGAAATGATTCGATTTTTAAAGTTGTAACCTAACCAGTGGACTAATCCACTGGTACGAATTAATTGGGTGGTAACTGTGGACAGGTAAAATGTAAGTGGAAAAGGTAGGTCCCTTGGGGTATGACTTTTGGTTTATTTTGTCCATGGTGAGATAAGGTCTCTGGTTCCTGGTTGTCATGTTCTGAGCTGCTTTCCTCTGCCGTGCCCTTCTGTAATAATTCTGCCTCACCTCAGGCCCACAGCTATGGAGTTCACCAACCATGGTCTGAACCTCTGAAACTGTGAACCAGAATAAACTTTTCTTCCTTCCCATTGTTCTTGTCAGGTCTGTTGGTCACAGTGATAAAAAAGCAGACTAAAACAAACATTTATTAATATATATCATTAATTCATTACCATTGAACATACAGCCAACAGTGCTGTACATGAAGGAAGAAGCTTACCTAACACGTGGATTGTTTTCTGTAAGGCACATCCCAGCTTCCTTGTGCTTAGGAACATTAGACTGCACTTACGCACTATGCTTAGGGTCATTTTTAAACAATGAAATTACCAACAAAAAGCCCCCAAATTCAAGAAGTCTAGCACTAAATAGACTAGGAAAGGGGCACTTATTTACAGAATGGGAGCAGAAACTAGAAGGCAGCGGTAGCCTCTTCCATTTCAGCGGGGAGCACAGCTCATGTTTCCACCCATCCACAAATGACTGTGAAGGAGCTAGATTATACAAATAAATCTTACCAATGAGTAAATCCATATTTACCAAATTCACAAATAAGGAACAATGTCTATACTTGTAGAACTAATATCTGGTTGTTATCATCTTACAATAAACACCTGTAAGTTATGATTATTATTGTCCTTAACTATTATGATTCTGAGCTATGCAAGGCAGAGAAATTCTATGAAAAATACATAAAGTTTAATACACATATCTGATTAATACACGTACCTGTATGGGTTTTCTTTGTATATAAAGGCAGCTTAGGGTGTTTGGGAGGTAAAGGTCTTCGAAGAAGAAGTTGTGGGTATTGTTGCATTTTAGTGATTAATAAACTCTGTTTTTTCATAACTATTGGTTAAGGGAGAATTGAAAAGTTTTTAAGCATGTTGCTGAAAAGCAATTTATTAGAATTTAAATTATATCTTAAGGAAACTCACTCTGTGATAATAGTATACTGAATCCAAGCAGAATTTCTTTATAAGAAAATGAGATTAAGAAAATAATTTTTAAAACTTCTACTTTAAAAATTTAGATTTATAATTAATTAATGCACAATTTAAAAATACACATACAATTGTTAATCAATATCAACCTGAAATTTCCCAAGTTAGGACAAAGTTCAATCTACCAATACTCTTTCAGCCAGTAAATGATTTTTCGGAACTGTAGAAATGACTTTTATTTCACCACAAAATGTTATCACTATATGTGGAAGATCCTTTCAATATACAAACCTCTGAAGACCCATCACATCTAACATTGACAAATTCATTGTTTTCTTTCTCTAACAATGGCTTGTTTAAATTCGATCACTACAGTTGGGTCATAACCATGTAATCCAAAAATAACATGGGCTTTCCCAGGATTGCTGGTAACCCCAATTAGTACTCTTTGGAAATGATGGGAGAAGATTCACACCCCTCCTACCCCGCAAATGTGTGTTTAGTTTGCAGGGCAATATCAAGAAGGCCTGGCACACCACTATTTCGTTGACAGCCTAGAAGGGAACCTGCAGCTGCGCAATTGGGCTGTTCACCCATAAAAGATAATTCTGCACACAAGCGCTCAAGGTTTGCTCCCTGGCGGTATGCCCTACTTGATGCTGGAAAATTTCCCTGGTAGTACCCTAAGAGATTACAGGAAGAGTTGAACTCCAACACCACTCATCTGCTTCTCAAATCAACTGACTTTTGGGCTTCCGTCTCTTTTTCTTGGGTCTCTAGCCAGTCAGGTAAAAGTATAGTGAGGTCGCCCGTCTTTCCGTAGGATGCTGTTCCCAAACAAGCATCCAGACTCCGGCATCTTGTGTCCAGAGGCCACCGAAACCGACCACTCAGCAACTAGCGGCCACCTGAGACGGGTAGAGCCCGCCCCGCCCTATGGATGCGCAGGCGCTGGAGGGCAGGGCGGGCAGGAGTGGTGACTGGGCAGGGCGGAGAGCGGGCGGGGCGATCGCGTCGCCCGCAGAGCCCCGGGAAGGCGGCCCCGCCCATGGCGCAGCGCGTGGTGCCCCTTTGCGCCACTCGGGTGCGGTGTGGGATAGCTGGGGAGGCAGCGGGCGGTTGGGCAGGAGGAGACGCCACTCCACGTGCAGCTGCTGTACGGACCGCCGTGGTGACAATTGTTATTACTTTTTCTTATTCTTAATGACAATGACTTACTTTTCTCTGATACGAAGCTTAACTTGGGTGTCTAGAGTCTGGGCTTGTATTCTTTAATGATGCGCTTTTGCGCAGCGGGGTCTCCTTGCTTATTTGGCAGTGCCCCTGAAAAGCAAACATTCTGCTTTCCTCTGATGCAACCTGTTTTGTCGTTCTGATCCTTTAAACTTCCTGGTTGAGGAGGAACTGTGTAGGAATAGGAGCATTAGGGAGGAATTCAAGCGGGCTTTAAAAAAGAGACTCTATTCTGTCACAGTCGTTCGTTCTGATTATTGTAACTTGTCTCTTATCCAGTCATGGTGTTGATGAACCTGTATGTACAGCGGTAGATGCATCGTGTGTTTGCATGTTGTTTCTCTGGAGCTTTGAGGGAGAAAGCACCAGAAAGAACTCACTATGTAGATGGGGAAATCACAGCTCAGAAAGTGAAGTAGATGGAGTTTCCTTCCAGGTTGTTTGTTAGGTATAGGGGCAGGAACCTTAGTAATAGATTTTGGGAAATGAGACACTTTCGAATAAGCTTTGGGACTCTTTCAAGATTTATTCCCTAATCAAATCTTCCTTAGTCTCTTTAGGAGTAAGCCTATATTTTAACACAATGAAAAAAGTAGAAACTGACTCTGGGAAACATTATGCAAATTATTTCCTTTAGTATTAGCATGTGATTTCTTTTCCTTATAAAATTACTTTGTCCCAGATTAGATGACCAGACCATGAATTTATGCCATTTCTGCCTGTGTCTACATCATAGATTTATGAACTTCTCAGAAAGACAAGAAAGCGGAGAGCAAAAGGTAGATCTACTGGCGAGGCTTTGCCTGTAGTAGTACTGATTGTACATATTTGCAAATATGGAAAAAATGTTTCTATCATTCTTAAGCATAAAAAATATATGTATGCCACTATATAAATTGAGTCAAGTTCCTGTACTCTGAAAAGTGGTTTGAACCATGAGAACTATTAGATTTCAGTTTGACTTACAGATGCTTGACCTTTAGAAATTGGTGCTTAGTTTTGCATAGTCAAAATCAAGGCAATGCATTTTTAAATATATTTTTAAAAATGCTTTGTCACATATGGACCCAGCAGGCATCAGGCTACATTCCTTGCAGATTTCTTCTAGCAGATTTTCTTCTAGCAAGTACCAGGCCAGAACCTATGGCTGTTTAATATGTAACTTTCTCAGTGTGAACATTTTGTTATCTTCTGTTAGTATCACCTAGTGCCAAACCTTTAGACAAATAATATAATTACTATGAAAACTAAATCCATTGCTTAGTATGTTTGATATGTATACATAGTTATTTTAACTCATGATTTACCCATGGAATTGATATACAAATGTAGGATGGGTTTTGAAAAAACAAATCACACTCAGTTTTGATCACTTTACTATTTTTAGATTTACTGTTTTTCTGTCTTTTAAAAAAATAATTATTATATGGCTCATTGAATCAGGCAGCTCCCTGTTTGGTTTTAAGGTTTACTTTATCTGATGTACAGAACCATGTTCCTGTTTATTTGTCTCATCAGCTTTGCAGTTTGGCAGAACCAGGGAAAGAAGCTTGTCAAACAAAAACCACAATGCTTTCTCTCAATTAGCAAATTGTATCAAGGTGCTCAGGATAATGGTGAGCACCAAGGTTATAGACACCTTGCATCTTTTTAAAACATGTTGTTAAATTAAGATAAAAGCAAAAGAGCAGTCCTAGGTACTGGTAGATAATGCTACTTATTTCCCCAATGAGTGGGACAGGTTGGGGTTGGAAGTGGGGGAACCTTAGATTTGCTCTTGGTGAAAGGACACAGTACTGTTGGAATGAAGTTAAAAAAAAAAAAAAAGTGTTACTAGAAATCTTAACTATTTTCCATAGATTTCTCTCCAGTTATTTTCCTTTTAAACAGAACAGAATTTGCTGAACAATTGTGTCAGTGTCGATTTAATCTATTTTATCATATGGAAATAAAGTAGTAACTTGTGGTTTTATGTTAATATTAGTTTGTTAGTTTGTTTTGTATTTGGTACCAGGAACACTTAACTACTGAGCCACAACCCCAGCCCTGTTTTGTTTTTTATTTAGAGTCAGAGTCTCACTGAGTTGCTTAGGGCCTCACTAAGTTGCTGAGGCTGGCTTTGAACTCACGATTCTCCTGCCTTAAACTCCTGAGCCGCTGGGATTATAGGCATGCACCACCATGCCCTGCTCATATTAGTTTTTGAATTTCATCTAAAGAATGAAGAGTTATTTTTGAGTACATGTGAATTCAATATTGAGTCCCCAGGATAACCCAGGACACCAAAGTGCTTTTGAAAAAGAGGTGTTTTCTTGGTCTGTTTATCTGTTTATACTAATTATATATACTATGAAACATATTTACTCTTCATAGTTTACAGTGTCTTAAACACATTCATTTATGCCAAGTGTTTTCATGCTCTTGCCTAGAGGATAGTTTTATATTTTCTCCAATATTAATAAAAATATTTAGAAGACTCTACTCTTCCTTTTACCCTTCATATTTCACTGCAAAGAACAAAACTTCATTTCTGTTCATTATTTTTGGCCAGTTATACTTTTTGCTTTTTCAAGATGATAGCTGTTTCATTTCCTTTGTTTGAACTAGAAATCCTGGAATTTCTTTGTAAAAAAACCATTATCAATAAGGAAATGACATTCAGTCTGCATTATGGAATTAATATAAAAATATCCTGAACATAATGAAAGGACAATGTCTGATTTTAAAAGCACAGTAATGAATTCAGTCATTCATTCCAGATTAATATATTGGACACCTACTATATATAAGACACTTGTATAGGTGCTGAACTTTAAACTTTATTAAAGCAATTTATAATGAATCATTTGACTCTTTATAATTTCAAACACTAAAATGAAAATTTTAAAATCATTTCCAAGGTTTCATTATTTATAATTATAGCTACTTGAATTTTTATTTTTTTAACAATTTGTTTTGATGTTGCTTAGGTAGAATAGTGTTATTTATTTGCACTATCCCAATTGCTCAAAAACAATTTGTATTTTCTTAGCTGTAGCAGTCATTATAGACTATTTGTCTGCAACCAGCTGATGTCAGGTATTTGTGTATATTATATGATTGTGTCCATCAACAATAGCAACAGAAAGACAGTTAATATTTGTTTCCTTGTTGGTTTGACTAAGTAAACTGTCCTCATGCTGTGGGTTATGACATGGTCTTAAACATGAGCAATATTTGTTCCTATATGGAAGGCACTCTGCTAATTGTTGACTTTAGGGCCTCACTAAGTTGCTGAGGCTGGCTTTGAACTCACGATTCTCCTGCCTTAAACTTATGCCCAGTTATCACTTTAATTGAGAATTCTAATATTTGCATCACATTTCAATCAAAAGCAGCATAGCATATCTCTACTTGTCTGGGTTCAAATCCTCCTGCTGCCACCTATTAGCTCTGTGCCCTTGGGCCATCTGCCCAACCTCTTTAAGCCCCCGTGGTTTCCTCACTTGTACAATTGGAAGGAAATGGTACCCAACCCAAGGCCATTGAGAATTTAAAGAGATAATCAGTGTCCAGAGTTTAGTGAGGGAGTGCTCAGTATGTGTTAGAAAACTAATGAAAATTATTTAGTTAGGCAAACAGCCCAGGTTTCTGTCTCCATGCCCCTGCTTTATGTGATAACAGTTCATATTCACAGAAATATCTGGAGGACTAGAGGATAAATCCTGGGCATTTTTCCATCAAGTTTCACACTTAGTTTGCTGATGTCTCTGAAAGTTAGAGGACCTAGTTTATAGCACTCAGTGACACACAGTCTGTGCCCTAGGAAGTGGCCTACATTCTGTTACTGGTCCTTGGTCCTTATACTCTGAGCCACAGAGGAATAGTGAGACAAGCTGGTGCCTGAAAGAGTCCAAGTACAGTGACGTGTCCAGGAAGCCTTGACCTGTCCCTCATGTGAGTGGAGTATTGTAGCAGCATTGCTCCAGCTGGACTGAATCCATGATGAATTTCAGCCAGTCAACCTGAGGATGAAAGCCACTTTGTTCCCAGCCTCCTGGGCCCGCTGGTGAGCTTAACAAAGGTGGAAAAGGCAGAAGGGCTGCCATGTGATGCTCCTCTGAACAGCCAGAGAAAAGGTGTTACAGAAGCACAGAACCTTCCTAGGGTTTCTCAGATGGGCACACCAAGCTTTGGGAGCTGAGTATATTTGAGGTCTTGAACTCTGCTGGGAGTTTGTCCTAAACTTACAGGGAAGATGTAACATGCCATAAGGTGACTGAGCTGCATGGCCTTTGGTGAGCCCTCAACAAACACCTGTAGCATTTAGAAATGCTTTGTAATGGCTTATTCTTCCTTATAATGTCAATAGCAATTTATGACCTCAAACAGCAGATACAGTGATTTATTTTTCAAACCTATCGTTCTGCTTTACACTCACTGTCCTGATTGAGCATATGTTTTATTCATAAGTGTAGTGAAGCTACAGATTTTAAAGGGCTAATGGTGGGAATGAACAGGGATTACCTGGGCATGTAGTGATGCACTGTATTCCCCAAGGTGAAGAACTTGCATTTCTTATACCACAGCTGGACAGCTGAAACTGCAGCGTGTGTTTCAGCACCATGTGGTTTGATATGCTTTGACCATTCTGCTACGTTTCCACTTTCATAATGTGTTTTGATGTCAGAAATTTTTATCAGGGTTGAAATTAACAATGGTTCCAGGACACTGCTTCTCTCCTCACCCTGCCTCAGGTAGTCACTTGCCTTGATAGTATGGAGGAAGCTCCTTCATTTCCTCTGCCAGTCATTCCAGGTGACATAATACTCAGCAAAGGAAGAGGATTTGGTGTCCAGCTCTACTAAGAAGCCACAGGAGAACAGCAGCTCTGCTTTTGTAAGTTGGACATTTTAGACTTTCCTGAAAACTGGCTTTGAAGAGTAGGTTCTGTGGCTAAAAGAGGTCTCCATGCAAACAACCAAACTAGATGTTTTAGGTGTTTCCACTCTTGAGACTTAGCCTACTCCTGCTTCTCATTGGATGGTGCCTCACCCTGAGTCATGGGAACATTGCCAGCCCATTCCTTGTGTCCAGGAACCCCATGTGCATCGTCACTTCCCAGTCCACACAGAATTAGACCAATCAGGCACCCCTGCCCTCCATAAGCACAAAAGAATTCAGAATGTTCCCTTCCCACTTTGCACTTCCCTACTCAGATTCATGGCATTGAAAGGATTGCTTCCAGAGGACTTGTAACTTGGTGTATCATTTTACCCAGGTGTTCCTACTTGGGAAAGAACAAAGCATCTCCTCCTACAGTGTCACTCACTGTGGACGTTTGCAGTACGTGGTTGTGAGATACTTGATGTCCCCAGTGAAGGTACAAGAGAAAAATAAAGGAAACTAGTATTCCTGGGGACCGTGATGATACCAGCATTCTGAAGGGAGCTAAAGCGACAGACCACGGTGACTGAATGTAGAACCATGAATATAATAAATCCGGTTTGGCACCACTTGCTTAGGAGAAATTATTTAGTTAGGAACTGGAAGGGCTGGTTTTTCTAATCTAGTATGGTTAGCTGTAAGACGAGCTGTGATGAATTGGAACAGCTGAGATTTTTAGACTTATACCCGAGGACTACCTTTGGCTGTGTTTCTTAATCAGCGTATTTCTCTTATTTATACTATGTCCATGGGGTAAAGAGTCATTTTCAAAGAGAAGTGTTTTCTGTGAGGTGCAGAAGCCTTAGAGTACTGTAGAAGAGCTTTCTACAGTCCATGGAGGTGTGGATTGTGAATGAGTTGACAGGTTCTGGCTGAAGATTAAGGAAGCACAGAGGTGAAGGAATCCAGCAGAAATGAAAGAAGCCCTTATCTCCTGTGTGACCTTTAGACCTCCCCCAAGTGACCTCCGCCCTTCAGAACCAAAAGCATAAAAATTAGCAGACACCTTTCTTCCAGATATCTGATGGTACCTCTCTAAAGTCGAAGGGACACATTTTTGATGGGGACAGGGTGAGTTAGAGACAAGATCCATATTTTTTTTTAAACTCATGAAACTAGTAAAATACTCTCTAAGAGTTATTTCTTTTAAATAATGAGTACTTATCCTAAAAGTGCCATCATGAGATTTACATAAGAAATTAAAGTCAGCACTAGTATAGCTCTCTCCTAAAAAAGGATCTGAGGAAATTATTGGGCATTTTCATCTGCTTTATCAATCTTAAAAGTATAGCTGCAGTTGGTTAGCCTCCATGAACCTGTTTCCTCCCCTTTAAGGATCTTTCCATCTCATATTCTATGATTCCAATGCTAGTTTCTGCTCATAAACTAGTATTATCAATTATATATAAGTATAAATAAATAATGTTTGAATATATTGGTTGTTTTCACCTATGCTGGTCTTAGAGTACAAATGTCTATAGTTTTGTTTCTGTTTTTTTCTACTAGACTGGGTGATTTTTATTTTCCATTACATAAAATCTATCAGTTTTGGTTAATGGTAGCATTTGAGTTTGGTATTTTCATGATTTAGTGAGAAGATTCATGTGTATACTTCACAGGTTTTGATCAGTTTCTTCTCCAACTTTTTTATTTTTTTAATATTTATTTTTAGTTATAGTTGGACACAATACCTTTATTTATTTTTATGTGGTGCTGAGGATCGAACCCAGGGCTTTGCCTATGCAAGGCAAGCGCTCTACCGTTGCGCCACATCCCCAGCCCAACTTTCTTATGTTTAATTGAGTTTAATATCAAAGTAATTTCTGCTTGTTGGAGAAAAAATAATAAGGTTCAGGAAGTGAAATTCTTCTCTGTATTTGCCCCAACTCTAAATGTTTGGTGTGAGACATTTCAGAATATATATATATATATAATGTAATATAAATATAATATATGTTACATATATTTATATTATATGTATATAAATATATATTTACATACATATAAAATAAAGATATATGTAAATATATATTTATTTACACACACGTGTGTATTATGTATGTATGTATGTGTGTGTACAGTATTTATAAAACTTTTATATAAAAAGAGATCACATTGCATTTTTTTGGACAACTCTATTATTATTATTTTTTTTAGCAACTCTCTTTTTTTCCTTGACATTTTACCTCAGACATCCTGTGTTAGTCAGCTTTTTGTCCCTGTAACTCAAATACCTGACAAGAACAACTTAGAGGAGGAAAGATTTATTTTGGGTCAGGGTTTCAGAGGTCTTAGTCCAGACCACAATCAGCCACTTCCATTGCTGAACTGTCACGGCAGTGACAGAAAAGCTGTCAGAAAAGCTGCTCAGCTCACAGCAACAGGGAAACAGTAGTAGTTCAAATTATTACTCCATCAAGTGGATCAACTAGCTAATGAGGTCAGAGCCCTTGCTATCTGATCATTTCCCAAGAGCCTTGCCTCTGCACCTTCCTGAGGACCACACTTTCAACACAGGAACTTTTGGGGGACATTCAGATCCACACCATACACATCCCATAGAACAATAGGGTTAGATCCTCCTTGCTCTTTCTGATATCAGCCTTTGATTTTATAGGCTTAGCACCTTGACTTTCCATCAGCCCAGATATTGTTAAAAAAAAAAAAAAGAAGAAGAAGAAGAAGAAAAAGAAAGAGAAAACACGAAACAGAGAGTAATGAAATTTGTAGAGGTTTATTGTGGAAAAATTAAGTTATATACATTTTTAAAAAACAGAGAAGCAAAATTTCCTGTACTTATCTCATATAGAGATAACTAATGTTAATGTTTTCATATAATATATTTGCTTACAGCCATTTATATAGATACAAATGCACAGGAGCCTTTAAATATTTTCAATTTAAAAATTTTCTGTTACATTGCTATTTTATAGAATATTGTTTTTCTTAAAAATATGAGAACTTTTTCTACATGGCATAAATATTTTAAAGTTTTTGATAAAATATTCAATATTTTTCCTCCAGAAATCTTGATTTTAGCTCTCACTAGTTGTGTGGAGTGTTCATTTCTCTTTACTCTAAGTGAACCTAGGATTAAGCAATTCTTTAATCTTCATTACTCTGATAGGTCGAAAATTCCATCTTATTTTAACTAGTGCAAGCTTTGATTAATAACAAATTCAAACATTCTTTCCTGTGCTTATTACTGGATGTATTCTGTTGTAAATGGCTTATCTTAGTGCCTTGCTAATTTTTATATTGTAATGTGTGTTGTTCTCCTTAGTGATTTTTAAGGGCCTTTTTACATTATGGATACCTAAAATGCCTCAATTTAATATGAGATATAAAATGGTTACATATGAAGACCCTAAAGTCAGACAGACTGGTTTAAATATGGGCATCACCATTTACTAATTATATGACTTTGGTCAAGTTACTCAATCTTGTAAGTAAAATTGGGACAATAATGCACTGCTCTATATAAAATTATTGTGAAAATTAAATGAGAACATCCTTAAAGTGCCTTATTAACCTGGTGCCTGGGAAATCGTCAGTGAATGTCAATTCCTCAATGGATTCCAAAGGAAGTACCATACTTATTACTACTATTATTATTACTACATATAACTGATTTTGTTGGTAAGTTACATGAAAATGGCATTGTATGCTTTTGAAAGATGTTATTTTATATTTAAGCATGTGTAGTTCCTTTAGTTAGAAATTGATGCTGGGACTTTCAGTCTATGTGGCCACCAGCACTGATATGGATGGCCTCCTGCCCACCTCAAATGAGTAGAAATGCCAGATTAAATATATAGTTGAGATGAACAGAAAAAGACATCCTGGGTGTTGCAAACGAAAAAGATGTTAATGACAATGATGTGAACTGTAGGTGAAGTCATGGTGGTCCATAGGGATATCTGATTTGGAAATGGACTTTTAAGAAGTAGACACTGGAATCATCCCACCTCCATAGAAGACAGGCTGTCTAGTCTACACAGCAGGCAACCAACTGAGATGAAACACTGTGTACAAAGCTGACAGCCCAAAATTAAGACTCTTTCTATGCAATAGGGAGTGGAAATCCACACCCTGGCCTGCACAGTGTCAAGGAAATTGTTCTCCCTAGTGATTGAAAGGCTAATCAAATAATATGCTGGACAAAGTAGACTCTTATGGGTTCACTTTTATTTGATTGATTGATTGATTGATTGCAGTATTGGGGATTGAATATAGGACCTTGTTCATGCTAGGCAAGTGCTATACGACTGAGCTATATACCCCAGCCCTAATGGGCTCATTTTTAAGAATACACAAAATATGATTTGTCAAAATGAATTGCCTATATGAAGCTTTCTGTACCTTGTAACTTCTAAATACATGAAACACAAATTGAAAAAATTATAAGGAGATATTGATAATTCCACCTCTAACATGGGGATTTTTTTACTTTTTTTTTTTTGTAAAACATTTATCTCTCAGAAAATAAAAGGGTGAACAAAAAAATTACTGAGGATATTTTTTGAATAAGTCATTAAACATGATCTGAGAGACATGTAGAGATATTTGTGTTTAATAGAAGAAAATGCATTCTCTTCAGTATACATGAAATATTTACCAAGATTGTGACCACTTGGCCACAAAGGAAATCACAACAAATTCCAGAGATGCTTAGCAGGTATCCCAGTTTGACTAGAGAAGAAATTGAGTAGGAAAGGGTGATGTGAAGGTCTGGGAGGAACCTAAACATCAGGGTATCAACTGGTGGTAGAGAGCCACTGACACATCTGGAGTAGAGAAGCCATGGAATTGGTACTGAAATGAATCTGGAATTGAAGCCAAGTTACTCCCGTAATGTTTAAGAGCGAATGATTAAAGAAGCAGCTCTGACTTAATCAGGAGTAAGTGTAAAGTGAAAAGCCCATGATGTCACTGAAGGTAGTAGTAGTTCA